CAGGCGAAGATTAGATTAGATTTTGGCGCGCACAGAAAGCTGTGTAAGCGCCAGTTGCTCGACATACCTGCGTGGCCCGTGTGACGAAATAGCTTCACGGGATTGAAAAAGTTTCAGTTACAGCAAATTATACAAAAAAACGCTACACTGGTAGAAAGATTTAAGCTTACATCTCATCTAACGTTTCTAGCGACATATCAATGCTTGCAACCATTATGTTTTATGCGAACCTAGCAAACTTTTAAACACGTTCTCTTGTGATACCTGCGAAAGTTTTCAGTATAATTTCCGTTAAGATTTTCGCGGACAATCTGATCGATTTCTCTTTCATTGTGTGCTGAGACTGAAACTTTTCACCTCGGGCAAAGCTTCGTCGCACGGCCCAAACAAACAGCGAGCAACAGAGCTTGCTGTATATGTGCGTGTTAAAACACACGAAAGGACTCCAAAGCACACTTCACTCTGATTGGGCAGAAAAAAACAGATTTTCTGGCACCAGTCAGATGCCAGAACGACTGCGACCGTTTGGAACTAGTCTTGTAAGACAATGTCCCCAGGGGCTCTTCTGCCCTTAACTTGAAATCGACTCACAGCCCCTGGGTCTCCGAGGATGAGTCTACACAAACCAAGTAATCAACCCAACTTGGTTACAAGATCTCAGAAGCTCAGTTTGTAAAGCATCCCTTCCTAACCCAGATTTCTTTCTTTGTCTCATGGTTGCAACAAATGTTGTACTTTTTAGAAAACTGCATTCACTTGAAGTACGAATAGTTTTAAAAAATGCTTTGATGTTATCACCAATGTACCTTATTCCCTTCTTCAGGTGACTACCTCCTTAGCTGCTCAACAGATCAGTATTGGGCTTTCTCTGATCTTCAAACTGGCCGTGTTCTTACCAGGTGTTTATCAGATCCTAACATCAATCAAGGTAATCACAGCCATTTTTCCATTTTTTTTTATAATGGAGTTCTAGTACTAATTAATGGGGTACTTGGAGAAATCTGTTTGGAACTTCCCATAAACTTTTCCTATGAGTAATTATTGTTTTGTTTTTTTCTAATGTCTTCAGGATTGACATGTGCTCAGTTTCATCCTGACGGTCTTATTTTTGGTACTGGAACCACCGATAGGTTTGTGATAAATGTCTCATTTCTTCTTTCATTATTTATGTATTGTCAGCAAAATAGGTTAGGAGAATACTGGGCTTGACACTAACTTTTCAACTCACTAGCCAAGTGGCAAGTGACATCTTAGATGTTACAACAATTTGAGTTTGTTTACTAGCCAAACTGGCTAGAGTGGAAATCAAAAATCACTGGCCAAAACTGAATTTCTACTAGTCTGTGGCTAGTGGGCTATCGTTAGTGTTGAGCCCTGAGAACAAGTGAAATATAAACCCTTTAACTCTCAAGATCTGATTGTAAATTCTCCCCTCTAGCTGCCACACATTTGCTTGTAAATAAGTTACAAGAATTAAGTGTTAGATCAAGGTAACAACCTCTACCTGATAAGTTTGAGTATTCTCATTACCTGTTTGTGGGATAATCTATGGATATTATAGGGAGAAGTTACATGTTAATCACTTGTGGGAGTTAGAGGGTTAAGGGAAATTCAAAGGAGAATGTACATATGAGGTCAGGGAGAAGTAATCATGACAACTTTCTTTTCTTAGTTGTAAAGCAGCAAAGCCAAAGTTCTGGCCACTGTTTTTGTTGCAATATTTGCTAACTTTTTGTTGCCTTCTGTTGACAGTGTGATAAAGATCTGGGATCTCAAGGAAGGTGCTAATGTAGCTAAATTTCCAGGACATTCTGGTCCAATTACTGATATTTCCTTCTCTGAAAATGGGTAAGTATTCAAAATTTTGTTTTTATTGTTCGTCTTTAGTTTTGTCATGACATTCGTTTTTGAGCTGTCTTCTTGATTGTTTTAACCGCTGACTTTTATCTTGCAGTTACTATCTAGCTACCTCTGCCGACGATTCAGTTGTAAAACTGTGGGATTTGCGCAAACTGAAAAACTTCAAAACCATCACGCTTGAAGATAGATTTGAGGTAGGAAGGGAGTTAAATGCAGTTAGGCCACATTTTATTTGTCAGAAAGGGCCAAAAATTGGACCATCCTCGTCGTAACGGAACACGGAAAAGATCATTGATGAGAACTGATTGAACCAGTTCTGGGCCCAGTTGTATAAATAATTGTAATTGAACTGACTGGAGTGTAATTTGTACAGGTAATCACATGATTTCGAGTACAATTTGGAATAAATAAGCACGAGTAAATTTTTTCAAAGACTAACAAAATTGCATGAGCCCGTAGGGCGAGTGCAATTTGTGGTCTTTGAAAAAATTTACAAGTGCTTATTTATTCCAAATTGCACGAGAAAATCATGTGATTATCTATTAATAATATACATGAAAAAATACGAGGTAGCTTCTCATAACTACGCAGAAGAAAAGCGCGCGCATCACGTGCAAAAATAATTTATTCAAACCCTGCAAGTGACATTGACCTTGACATTGACATTGACCAATCATTCTGACCAATCAGAATGTCTGGTTTGTTTCTTTCTTTGCACTGAATTAACCCTCTTCTGCACTGAATTAACTCTCTTCTGCACTGAATTAACTGAAAACTGCATTCATCTTAACCAATCAGAACTGAGAAATTTTTTCATGTATATTATTAGGGCTGAAATCATACGCGTGATTTCAAAATCGAACGAGCGCGCAGCGCGAGTTTGATTTTAAATCACAAGTATGATTTCAGACCAAAATTGCACGACACGAGGTTCAATTACAACTTTATTACATCCAGTTTGAAATCGCCCAAATACAGGACTCGGTCAACTCAAATATTTTATTGATGCAGTACTGAGCCAGTTTTTAAATAAAAAGCGGAACCGGAAATGCTTTTACATCTTATTTTGTATGCAAAACAGAAAGACTTTGACGTCATGTGTCAAAAACTCAGTCAAGCGTAAAATGATGCGATTTAGAGCAAAAAATGGTGCGACTCGTGAATAAATCGCACCAATTAGAGCCAATCAGATTGCAGGGACCACCAGTGATTTCAAAATGGAGGTAATAAAGGGCGGATAACACTACCCAACAGATAACTCGATATCCAGTGGATAAGTGATGGCAAAACATATTGCACTATCCACCAGCGGATAGTGGATAGCGTAATCCAACCTACCAACAACCGGGGCCCGGATAATCTGGTCCTGAAAAAGGGCAGTCATTTGTCACTTTTCTTGTGTAGAATACTCAAGAAGTGTGTTGGGGTTTTTAGTGCCTATTGATATAGACGACGGAGATATTGATAACACGTGGAACGGTAAAACACACTGGACCGAACACAAGCAAGAATCAGGCGAATGAGGAGCGCCGGGACTATGTTCTTCTTGTGCAAGGAAAAAACTACGATCGGTTCCTCAGGGAAAACTGGGTGACGTTTTTGTTGTCTCCCGTGAAACAATCCAACCTGAGTGAGACAGCTAAGATTGATAAAACCTAATAAAAACTGAGTATTTATTAAATTTCTGCGAAAGGGATTGATTCTTTGACAAAATTTAACAAACCAGCCTGGACCTTGATATTTCGACTGATGAATGATACGAAATATGTCATATGCATCCGATACATTATCATGCCCGTGATTTTCCCTTCTTGAAGTGATGTTTTTGTCTTTATTTTGCAGGTTAAAACGCTCAGTTTTGATCAGAGTGGTACATATTTAGCCGTGGGTGGTTCCGAAGTCCAGTAAGTCAGATATACAAAACCTTAAAATTTCAACAAATAGAAGCCATGTTTCCTGTGTGTCCATTGCGTTGATTTTCTCAACATTGGCCGTGGGCAACCAATTTCGTTTTTGTTTATATATTTAACAAATGATAAACACCATAGCGTACACTATTGAGTTATGGATGCACGCGGGAGGTTGCTAAGCACGACAGAAGCGTTAGAGTCGCACGAGACGATAGCCTTTTGAGTGCTTCGCAAACCTCCCAAGTGCATCCATAACTCAATTGTGTACGCTGCGGTGTTAACCATTTGCTTTATAACATAGAAAACAATTTCTTGCGAAACATTTGCTTACTTGGAAAAATTTACTCACATCAACAGCGTACACCCACGAAACACTGAATTGACCAATCAGAGCGCGCGCTTTACGTGATTTATGTTATTATGTTTTTTTTTTTTTAGGGTCTACCTCGTCAAACAATGGGAGATGATAAAGTCATTTGCAGGTAAATTTTCCGTGTGTATCCCTTTCAATTACTGTAAAAGGATAGGTAAAACGACAAGTAAAAAAGCCTGTTATTTCAGGTTCTATCGTGGCCTTTCAATCATAATTCTGGCTTGACCAGTGTATGATCCATTCTGTCCAATCTGGGTAAGACGAAAGGGTGTAAGTTTTTAAATAAACTGTGGTGCCGCGTCGGTGGGGAGTGTAACAAAATAATTTGGTTTTAACAACGAAGTTGATAATGTTAATTGACCACCTTAGAGAGTTTCTTTGGCTCACTATTTGAATGATAGCCCTTTCTCTGACAACAACAACAACAACAACAACAACAACATTGACTTTATTTTTTAAAATTAAAGAAATAAAGGCCTTTGTAGTAAAAGTCAAACTTTTTAGAGGAACGATGCATGTAAATTAAGAAAAGAAGCGGACCAAGTACAGAACCTTGAGGGACTCTACACACTATTCTCTCTTTGCTAGAGACAATAGAACCGATTTGGGTTGATTGCATCCTGACAGACAAGTATGACGAGAACCAGTCAATAATCAATCCATAATGGTGTAATTTATGCAACAAAATCGAATAATCAACCGTGTCGAAGGCCGTTTTCAAGTCAATGAAAATGCCACAGGAATATAATTTTTTATCAGTGTTGTTTTGAATTTTATTTAGAATATCCAGAATTGCATGTTGAGTTGAGCAGTTCTCTCTAAATCCATATTGCGATGTGAAAAATATATCATTCTTATTTACAAAAGATTTTAGGCGTTTGTACATTAGTTTTGTACATTAGTTTGTACATTAGTTTGTACATTAGTTTTTCTGACGGTTCGTGTAAACGGCTTCTAGCGGGGAAAACGCGCGTGCAGTGACTGACAAGCAGCTGGCATTAGTTTTGCATCTAATTGGTTGAGGGGGTGGCAACGAGTTTTCATAGCCAATCACAGAGCGGAGAAAATCATCTTGTTTCCCATTGGCTCTTTGTGATATTTTCCCTTGTTCTGGGTGGCCGTTTTGATGGTTTTGCTTTTGCTTTTCAGAAGCAAACATTCAAAGAACTCCATCTATATTTGAGGTGGTCGTAATATTCTCTCTCTTTTTTTTTTTTTCTTATTTTACAGAACACTCGGATGTGACGACAGGAGTGAAATTCGGCAAACACGCCTCATTTATCGCCTCTGTTGGTCTTGACCGTCATCTCAAGTTCTACTCGCGCTAGAGCAAGGAATAAGCTAACTTAGTCCCACGTTTACTGACAATTACTTGTACTGCTTTTTTATATTTCTTGTACGTTGTACGTCAAGATGGTAAAGTTTTGAGACTCTTTCTTATTTTACGCCTTATTTTTGAGGTAATCTCTCTCAGTTATTTATGATTTTTCTCTTTTTCGAGAATCAAAGGGGGATCTGGAAATAACCAAGCCTGAGTGGCGTCTGTTTTTTGTTCACCAGAATATTCAGGTTACATGCAAGTTGCTTGAAACGTGAGAGATCCCAATTATATTAGGACACCAACGACTAAGAACGTGGTGAAACAATTGAAAGTGGAAGTTCAGCTCGTGCGTTTTGAAAACTTTGTGTATTTTCAATCTTGACTCAGTTACTGGCTCCCTGGGGTACTTTCTGTCCTCTGACGGGCCGTTGGGATTACTTTGGTGTTTCTCTTACGACACATTATCGAAATGCACTCTAATGCTAGAAGAGGGAGCCAGTTTCTTAGGTTCATCCTATTGTTTCACTTATAAAAAGAGAGATTACAAGAGACTGTGGTAGCTTTAGTTTAGTTTAAAGGGAACAAGGACACATATTTGAATTACAGTAATCACCCACAAACAAGAATCTTGGGGATTAGGAACCTGCACTCTCTAATTTAGCATTTGGAATATGAGAACCTGTTTCGCTCGGAAAAGAGAAACAGATTCTTATATTGATGGAGTAACTTAATTGTCGTGATCGTACAAGTCTGCCTCTTTGAGAGAGCTGCCTACGTGTTTGCTTTTGTTTTTGTTTGTTTGGGTTTTCTTTTGGTGCTTCTTGTGATTATTTGACAGAGCCTGCAAACATAAGTGGCGCACATTGACCGCTTTTTTTTTCGGCCTTCGTCATTTCTGTTTCATATTAACGCCAGGCGCGAACCTGCCCATAGGCATTACCTGTTATCGTAGTGACAATGTTGAAATTGTATGCGTGAAGTCCGTTAGTTTGAGTTTGCGATGATAAACTTTAGCAAAACTCCTTTGGTGTCTCGGGAAACTTTGATTGAGTTTCCTTTAACTTTGTATAAAGGTCAAACTTTTGTAAACTTTTAGCTAGTTTTAACAATCAATAAAAAAGCAAAAAGGAAAATGACATTCACCTTTTTTGGTAAATCCTTTCTTGCACATTTCATTTGCTTACTAGAGTCAAATCAGCTATCCAGGGGGGAGGTGTACGAAACATGTGCACAATTGAGGGAAGACAAGGTTGAAGTTCTGCTGATATCGTCTACAAAGCCAGTCGAGTTAAATGTTACGAGGAATCTGAGAGTTAAAATTCAAAGCGTTCCCATGGCTAAGAAAAAGTGTGTGCATCAGGTATGCACCACGTGACCATAAGAAAAGAGGAATTAGTTCAAGGGGAGCTGATGACGTCACTTAGACATCGTCGCGCGCAATCTGGCACCAAGTCCCACCCTTAGCGCCAAAACCTGTAACAACAACTGCCCAGTGCTATGGCACGGCATCATTTTCAACCAATCTAAAGACGTACGAGTTTGATCAAAGCGTCAGATTCTATTTCTGCTTACATTATTTCTTTCCAACATCTGATGGAATATGCCAAAGATCAAAGAGAAGCAAAGAACAACATCTTTTTTGTATACTTCCAGAAAACAAGTTAAGTCTGTAATGGGACTCCTGGTTATGACCGTCTCTGAATTAATGGTATCCTCAGTTCCTTGCAGTCTCCGGTATGTATAGTCTCCCTCGCAGCCGTTTTTTTTTGGATGTCACGCAACGCTCCCCCAAAAGAACGGCTGCTGACAACCGAACTGCATTCCTTTCTCATTGTCCTTGCGGTTTGGTCGCGGTCTATTGAACAGACCAATCACATACCAGAAAATCTGAATGACGTAAGGTTTCACGCGAAAATGTGGTTGTGGCAGACGATCTAGCTATAATGTCGGGAGAAACACTGAAGAAATTTGTCGATGAGAGCTCGAAATGTTTCAGATGTTCATCGTTGTGCCCTGGTAAAGATAGAGTATATATTTTTGGGAAAACTTCTCACAATTTGGTTAAAACTATAGAATCTACGCTTATCATAGACGTCAACTGCTACGCCAACGACACGAACGCTAGATTGTTTGAGCGGTTGTTAAAGTTTCAGTAGAAGAAGCTAAAAACTGAAATGAAACTCTTTATTCGCACTATTTCAAGAGGTTATTACAGATTATAAAAGTCAGAATATATAAGAAACAGTAAATTACATCAATAGTCAAAAGGAAATACAAGACGCCTTTCAATCTAGGCCAAGGGCTAAACGCTTGCTTCGACCTACAGATGGAGATGAGGAGGAAAAAAGCGCGTGCTTGCCGTCAACAAACCGGGCGAAGCTTCGAGAACACTGCATTTTAGGTCGGCTAATGTCTCCTACACTACTTGTACTTCTTCATTTGCTAGTCCGCTGCTATCTGGAGCGAACCCGATTAGTTATGTTCGTGGCTTCTTATCACCGGTACAGGAAATCGGCCCGAATTATCGAGTGTTTCCGCACCGTGGTACAACGCGACAACAATAACAATAATATGACCACTTTCATCGGTAACATGGTCAAACACGAGCGGGACTGCTTGATATATTAACGATTTCCCGGATCCTGTAGGCGACTTAACAAAAACATCTTCTTTCTCGACTAAAACTTTTTTAATTGCAAGCTTCTGGTGAGCATTAAGCTCGAGTATTTTGAACTTTGACGACGCTTTGCGAAAAGCTCCTTCAAGCACCGCCATTTGTCTTGTGTTTTCCACACGAGGATCGCGATAGAAAACGATATCTGATTGGACGAGTCTCAAAAGGTGAGTCTGGCGCGAAAAGGTTCCTGAAAATGGAACCCGAGCTGTGATTGGCCAATTCGGAGAAAGGAATGTAGTTCGGTTGTCAGCAGCCGTTCTTTTGGGGGAGCGTAGCGTGACATCCAAAAAAAAACGGCTGCGAGGGAGACTACGGTATGTAAGGACTGCAAGCATTTCTTTGTGTTGTAACAAATAATAGCGACTAACACATTTTTGTAACATGCTCTATTCGAATTCGTTTTTAAAACTGATGAACTGGTGAACCAACAAAAAAAAATTGAAAAAAGAAAACTGAAAGTTATTAGTTAAGAGTTATATGGTTTATTAATAACAAACTTTTCTCGGTTTCTGCCAACATTTCGAGCTAGTAATGACCCGGCAACTCAGAAATTTCCATTCAATTTCTTGAGTTTTAAAATGTTCTTTATAATGAAAGAGTTTGAACTGGTAGTGTCCCTAAATGAAATGTCGAGCCCAAGTTGAAAAAATATCGAGCTGGGTTCCTCTGTTAGAATCTCAACGCATATTACAGTAATCTGAAGAAAAATTTGTTGCCATTGTTTACTCCCAGTTGATGTCTATTCAATCACTCAATTGAGTCGGGTAATGTAAAATAACCAGCGTAAAGATTTTCTTAAACTGACGTTTCGAGAGTTAGTAGTTTAATCGATAACCCATAAGACCTAGATTGTCCAGCATCATCTACAAGTAATTTCTCCCCACATCACGCGTGGATCAAACATGAAAGAAAGGCATGCATGATTACTGACTAAATATAAGCCATAATGGCTAAATATATTCTTCTTGTCAGCACCTTTGCAAATGTATAGAGAACAGTATGGAGAATATGCATATTGATGTTAGATTACCGGTTAGGGTGTAAAAGGTTTTTTAAGGAATAGAAATAAACTACTTCTTAATACACCGTGTACAACAGCTGTTGCTCTAAGTTATTTGGCTGTCAAAGTTTTTTAGTTTAGGAATTAATGGCTGTCATAGTTTTTATCAGCGGATGTCCTATCAAAGAACTAATTATTGCCATTAAGAACAATTTAAGTGTCCAGGTGTTCCCAGAAATGTTATGAAAACCTCCATTCATTTATGTTCAGCACGCGACGGAAGGAAGGAATTACAAAAAACAAAATTGCTACCTCGGTACCATAGAGTGCAAACATGAAATATTAAGCAAACTGCAAAAAAAGCAGAAATATATCTTGTAACATTGAAATTCTTGCCACAATATAGACAACAAAACAATCAAAATTCATGCAACAGTTAATCGCTGAGTCACGAAAAGACATCTTCCTCTTCCAGTTGTCTTTCGTCTTGCATGCTTAACTTGTTTCTCATCAGGCACATTCTACCATGGAAATGAGATATATCTTCTTTACGCAGAATGACAGATACACCATATTGATTGTTACCATCAGTAAAAACAAACAAACAAAAACAAAATAGGAAGAAAAGATCAGAGACTCGTATCGAGTAGAGAATTAAAGATCCTTCTTTCTAGTGTTTATTGCGTTGCTGTTGACATGGTGACAGATGCTGCTGACCAAGTACAGTGCGTTTTCACACCCTTTCCATTTTGCTTGGTCGGTCGTGTCTTCGTCAAAGTACCTTGTTTCCCTTGTCCCTACCTAGTCACGTAGCAAACGTAGTGGACAGTCTAAGCTATTGCTAGAATTAACTTCTTTTTTGAATAATCATGAGTGGAAGATCCTCCAACTCGAACGAGGATACGGGTCGAGCAAAGAAGAAAGGCGGTGGATTTTTGGCAAGGCAGTCGAAGGCGAAAAAGACAATAACTGAAGAAGAATTGCTTAAAAAGGACGCCGTAACACCGGACGATGTATTGAAGTTGACAAAATGCACGGAAAGTAAGTGAAAAGTGGTTTGTATTTTCCAATCAATGCGATCCACTTGCAAATTGCAATATTGTAGCGAGGGTTGCTGAGTAAGAATTATCTGCTGATTGAAACTTCATTGTCGTTTGTGTGCTAAGTACTTTTCCTTGCTCTCTGTTTATAGATTACCTCTGCGAACCTGGTGCAAATATATACAGCATCGATTTTACGCGGTTTAAAATTCGTGATATGGAAACAGGGACTGTTCTTTTTGAGATAGCTAAACCTGATAACATCGACGAAGAAATTATCGACAACGATGATGATCCTAACGCCGGCCGCTTTGTAAGATACAAGTTTACTTCAGAGTTTCTCAAGTTGAAAACAGTAGGAGCCACGTAAGTTTTACTTCCATTGGTTACAGATTTCTGTCTGTTTTATTAAATTCAATTAGTATCAATATTTTTCCTATATTTCCATCTCATCGATGACACTTTTACTAATAATATATCATGAGCTTCATTGCCTGTATGGCATAATTATCGATCCATATTGCATGTTCAGATCGACATGTTCTTGTCTTTCTATTAAAAATCACCAATCCATAATTTTTAGATTGCACGAATTGTGTTCTGTTTGTATCTGACTCATTGCTAATTTGCATGCTGTTTTCGTTTTCAGAGTCGAATTTACCGTAGGAGACAAACCCGTCAACAATTTTCGTATGATAGAACGGCACTATTTCAGAGATCGACTGCTAAAAAACTTCGATTTCGAGTTTGGATTTTGCATCCCAAATAGCAAAAATACATGTGAACACATCTACGAATTTCCAACGTTAGAAATTGATGAAGGTCAGTACTCAAAGAAGTATTTGTTTCTCTTGTTTTGAATGTTTCTTTTCAATAGGGTCCTAGTATCTCGCAAAACATTGACACGGAAACTCGGCGACTAGAAAGAATTACTTGTGTGTTTCAACTAGGCCATTACTCGTTCGCCATTTTAATCACAATATCTCCGTTGTACTTAAGATATTTTAAAGCTTGTTTTATCGTTTTCTTTCATTCATCTGACCTAACACTGACGAATAAAACAACACGCATACTTTTTACGCTTATCTTGAAGTTTTGACCTTTATACTGATAAAAGAAAAACGTCCTTTTTTGTATGAATTGCGAAGTTAAAGATAATTTAAATAACGACTCTTTACGTTCCTCTATCGGGAAATTTATCTCGGTTGTTTGTAAATTATCATGTTATCCTGAAGTTGTTGTAGAGATGATATCTGGCATCTTCAACTTAATCAATATCACGTTAAGTATAAATTAATGACATTACATAATTTATACCCTAGGGAAGGAGTGGTAAGGGATATAATATACAATTGTGTTCTATGGTATTTTCTCATTTTGGGATGATACAGGAGTAGAAATGCAGAAAAGATTAATGATTTAACCATGAATAAGTTAAGAAACAAGTGAATAAATTTTAAAAGTTGTACTGTTGATGTGAAAATTTTTTATACGTTGACCAGTTGAAAGAAACACTAATATACTCACCCCCCTATACAAAGAGAGACCAATAATGATAATAATGATAACAATAATGATAATGATAATGATAAAATAAATGATAGTTAACAACTATTCACCAAAGTGGAGGTGGTTAGTGGTGGATATTTACTGAGCCGCGAAATGGTGAGGTAAATATCTACTGCTAACCACCGACACTGAGGTGAATAGTTGTTTTAGTATATACTAAAGCAGTGAGATAATACACACCACCAAAAACTAATTTGAGTGATTTCTTCATCTGCCACGGATGCAAACTGGGACGTCATTTTTTCCCGAGTTGCTCGGAGGTAAATAGCAAAGGATATTCGGAGTTTGACAAGCCAATCAGAGCGCACCTTCAACGCTATCCACTGTTTTAGTATATACCAATAACATTTATTCAATGTTATTTGCATGGGTATTATACAATGAAAGGAGACACCCAAGATAACCCAAATAAGGGTATATGAGGGGGCAGTGGGATTTTCGGTTTGGTGGTTGTGGCTATTTTTTGAATCAGTGTTTTGGTTTTTATGCCCAATACTTCATTTTTTGGTTTTGGTGTTCATCTTGGTTTTTTGCATTTGGTTTTCAGTTTTCGTTAAAAACACTGACTGGTTATTAGATTTGGTATCCAATGTGGTTTTCGGTTTTTCCTATTTGGGTTCTGGTTTCTCTTTGATCTGAGGGGCAATTATATACCTCGTCTGATCTCTATTAGCCACAGAACCTCTGTATGCTCTACTTGTCACTACTGTGTCTGATCAATTGGGGTTTTGATAACTGTGAAATTTTATCAGTTTTGCATGTGGTTAATTGGCATTTTTAAATTCTTTTTAGTGTTTACATTATTTTTCCCTAACCGTAACCCAAACCCAGTGCCTCCCTCATATATCATAAATACAAGAAAACTGAGTAGATGAATAATTATAGTGAAAATATTTTGTGAGCATAAAATTGATCCTGTTCTTGTTTTGTTACAGAAAACCATTCTCAAAATTGTTATGTAAAGGTTTTATAACCAGGAATATCATACAGTAGAAGATGAAAGTAAAAAGAAAACATTCTGTATAAATTAAAGTATGCTACCTGCAACTGACCAATCAGATACTGTCCACTTTTTTCCCTTTTTTATTTCATCAAAGAATTGTGTGATCATCGGGTTATTGTAAATGGCCCATTTCCGAATTACCCTTGGCCTCATTTTCAAAACGAGTCCTGGTGCCCATCCTTTCATATGATCATAAGTTTTCATTCACATGCAAATTAAACTCATTTTCACAAGAGTGGTGGAGCACCAGGCCTCATTTTGAAAAAGAGGCCAAAAGTAATTTAGAAATGGCCTATTTGTGTTACATCTTGGCAAGGGTTAAAAGATGGGGGCTCAAAAATGGTGTTCATATGGATAGGAACTGGAGTCTGCCTACAGAAAGTGCCTAACCACCTAAAAAGGCAGTTTGCTAATAGCATACGTTGTAGTTATAGAAATTGATTTTTTTGATTGATAAGATGACTATTGATTTGTTAAATTTTGTTTGCAGTGCAAGAAATGGTAAACCACCCATTTGAGACTAAGTCAGACAGCTTCTACTTTGTGGATGGCAAACTTATCATGCACAATAAAGCAGATTATGCTTATGATGGATAGCCACTTTAAGCATAATCCTCTTACAATATGTACAGTGACGTGCAGACAAACATTTAGAGACAAGATTAAATACTTTCTTACAATTTAGTATCATCTGCTTTAGCTCAACATCAAAATCATCCTAGATTTTCCATACATCATGAATGTAATCTTTGAGGGAGATTTGGTGTCATGTCATGACTTTGTTACCTGTTTGGTAATCATTGGTCATAAATTGGAATTACTTTATACATTGTTTTAGAAAGAAATTGGAGATGATCATTGCTGGAATATATGAAATGATAAACTAGAGGTAGACGCTTGTTTTTGTACCAAAAAAGTCAGTGCTCTGTTCCATCATACAAAAATGTTGTTGTGGGTCTTATTTTCCTTGTGAAATTGTCTTCATTTTGTACAAAAGATAACTAATGCATGCAACATCAATAAAATAGAGTTGGTCTGAGTAAGTCAGATTTACAAAACCTGGCTTATATTTATGTAGCTTGAGAAGATTTTTGTATAACGCCCCAATGTAACCCCATTGGGCAAGTACGATCACAATAAAAATTGAAACAAAATGCTCTGTTCTTGAGATTATGGTAAGTGTGTACATGGGAAGACTGGAAAGGGGAAATATTCAATCCACCAAATTCTTTGTTACAGGGTAGTAAACAGAACCAGTGCTTCTAGATGTGGGTTATGCCCTTTTTTTTGGCATTTTTTTATTTTAATCACTCTACCTCTCTGATATGGTTGAGTAAAATTACACCACCCTTGATTTGGTGTTTCTGCTTCTTGTTTATTCAGCATTTTAATAATTTAAAGAATAAAGTTTTCTGGGCTTAAAACTGGAAAGGAGAGGGTTCACTTTGTTTTCATATCTTCAGGTTCTTGTGGGTTAATTAATCTCTCCTGACACAGAAGTTTTAGGTCGTTTTTAAACCAACCGTATCCAACACGGGAGACAGCATGTCAAGATGGGCCAACCATTTGAAATGTTAGCCCAAGATGCTGAACCTTTAGTCATAGGTAACTTTGCCTGTTTCACGAGTTCAGTTCGTAAAACGAAACGTTATATTAGTTACGGGAAGGAGAGGTTAAAAAAAGAAACGGAGGATTGGGTTGAGTCGCCTGGAACAGCCTTATTTACAGCGAGACACACTCAGAAAAAAAGAACTCCTCTTATTGTATGCGGTAGAGATTTCATTATAGCAGGAGACCCCTTGTCACTACAATGAGTAGTGGCATCGAGTCAATCCTTTTTTTAAGACAATGTTGATCCAAAAAATTGAAACAGGATTTATAGTTATTCAAACCAAGAGAATATAAAATCTCTCGTTCAAACCCAAAAGGAGTCAGTTTACCTTGATTCAACTAACTTCTAGATCAAGTTTAACTAAAACAACCTAGCCTTACAGTTGAGAGTGATTCTTCCATTCCGCCACGACCAGATTGGAAAGGTTCCTGATCACTCATTCTAACCTAACTGGGATCAAAATATTACCTCGGTTTTACAAAGTATGAAAACTTAATTAGGTGGACCGAGAGTCTCGTAGGTGTCCGCTTTAATTCTTGGCTTGCAAGAGACGTCCTAACATGGTCCATATTTCATCTCCTAATAAGGGTCGCTGTCCAAACCATAAATTCTCTTGTTATATTCTCTGTTTTGGCATGTCCATATTAATAGTGACAAGGTTTATTACACCAAGTCTGAGTCCTCTTTATCGTAAGCTACAACTGTGAGTTCTGGTTAGTGAGAGGGGTATAAGAATACCCACGAACACGAGATGAGGAAGAAGTTTGCCAAAGATCCGTTTCTTGGCAGCAATCATTCTTTTTCAAACATAATCCTACTCCGAGCACACCAATCAAAATGGCCGATACTGGTATGCAAATAAAAGCAGTAGTGGACAATCGGATAACTTTTGAAGCCATAAGACCGGTCAATACTGCACCGTAAAACATAAGAGATACAAATAGCGAGCAAAGACATTTTTTCCGTCCTCCCTTAATACAACAGTCAGCGCATGGCCAAAATATCAAACACAAAAGCAAATATTTCACGCGTCTTTTGCAAGCTTCTTTTGCTTCCCTGGCCTTTTCTTTCTCCTGTAATTCTCCTATTGTCTGCCCTAGCTGTTGCTGAAAATCTTGAAGAACTTGAAGCTCGGTGCTACTTGACAGTTTCGATTCCGACATCTCGATATGAGAGCATCCCAAGCGGTCTGGTCAATTTCCCTTTCTTTGTCAAGCGTGTGTAATGTTTCCAATCTGGCCAATCTTATTATCTGCAACCCTTACTTAATCTCCACGAGTTTTGCTCCATTACTCTTGAAAACGCAGCTAAATGACTTTACTGACATTTCAATTCTGAGGAATCGAATATTTTCCGAGAATTCGAGAAAGCTGAGACGAGAACAAAACTATCTCGTGAATATCAGATAAACAAATACCTCTGCTATGCGAATAATTGGCCGACAAGGAGATCCCCTTGACCTCGAGTAACCAAACACACTAGCAAAACTTAGCAGGGACTGGAGTTGTCAAGGCTCATGTCCCGCAAAGTAACAGCCCTCCCTTCCCTCGACAACAGTTTAACGAGACACGATAATACCGTGATGCAACATGGGAGCCAACTCTGATTGCCAGAAATCAACTCGGAACAAACAGAGAAGAGCTATAATATTGGTATCCGATTTCTAATTAATGAATCATAACATCTTTAACACAAGATCTTATTCCAAAAGATATGTGTGTGGAACACAGCTGAGATGTTATGTTCACATAAACACTCGAGGTATTTAATAATTTCTCAGTGAATGCGTACATATCTCAGATGTGTGCATTTTGTGGGTGCACAAAGATCACATGTCATCTAAAACTGATAATTAGCTAATTACACAAACAATATTTTTACAATCATTGTTTTTAGATGGAGATGCCTTACTATCACAAAAGTTAACTTGTGAGTTGCAAGACAAAGATGGACAGTAACTGTACAAATAATAAATATTGTGTCCATCCTTGCCTTAAATAGAATGATACAAGAATAAAATTATCATTGCTTCTCTAAAAAGTCTTTGACGCCAGTGTATAAAAACTCTAATTTACACTTTTGTTTTAACACATTTTTTCTAAGATATGGTGTGCACAATCCTACAGTATAAAAATACTGGTGATTTGTTGCCAGTGTCATGAACAATAGCAATGAGTACAACACGGGCAGGAAATCGTAGATTCCTTTGTGGTTATCTTTTTCCTTTTGAAGTCCATGACCCTCTGAACAGCTGGCAGCAGATAAATATATTTTTTTGGCCAATGAATGTGATACTGTTCACAGAAGCACCCAGGCTCAATGAGATGAAGCAAGTTTCTTATCATTGGTACTAGAAGCCTTGGAAGTTGATGGTAACTTTGTTGCATGGCTCGTGATACTGAAAACAAACTGTGCACAGCCAAGCTTTATGTAACTCCCATGATGCAGCAAAGCTGTTCCTTCCCATCCTGCACCACTGCCCCCAATCAAATTTGAGCTACTTGTTGTGCAGTTACAAGCTTTGACAATTTTTTGCACACCGAGTCCTACAGTTCTCCGTGATCCTTTTGGCTTGGAATTGTTCTGCCTCCCTTGCGCTGCTGCAAGCAATTTGTTCTTGCTTACTTTGGAAGGATCAAGGTCCTTTGATGAAACAACATGTCTGTTGATTTTGTCCGAAAAGTCACAAGAGTATAAAACGTTATCTACATATGTTCCGTGTTCACTGTAATTTATGAGTTCATACTGTTTCGAAGTCTGCGGAGAAAAACAAAAACAAAACAAAATTTTAACCAGCAACTTTTTCTTATAGTTTTAGTAGATTATCTTTTGAACAAAATGTACTAAATAAATAACAAGATAAAAACATATTTTAAAAAACTCAAATTACCAGCTTAATTTTTTTGACGCATATAATCAAACTATACCTCATCATAGAATATAGAGCAATGTTTTTCAGATATAAAATTACAGTGTCCATATTCCTGGAGACAAACATCCATATCTGGACCTTGAAAAAAAGAAAATTTTTTTTAAAACAACCTGTTACAAGCATTGATTCATATAGGCTATAAATATGCTAATTCTGTATGCAATAATAAATGCTGATAAAAAGTCATGACTTTGAAACATTCTTCATTCCTAAGGTTTTCCAGGCTAAATTGTATGGAATTACAAGATAACTGAAACCCAAAGTATTGCTTCCACCTTGAAAAAGTTTTCATCAACGTCTGAGACACGTTACTGTTAGTTATTGTTTTAAAGGTCCCAACCTCCATAAATTTAATATGCTCCTGGGGGGCTTACTCAAATAAGTACCATAACCACTAACCTTGTCCTAAGGACAGACATTTGTGAATCATTGGACACACAGGACCTGTCCCTGACAGTGGACACAGTACTGCTATGGATCTGCCAGCAGGAACTAAAAAGAGAAAAAGAAAAAACTACATAAACTTGATGCCAAAAAGAGGAGGAGGCCTCATGGTTGGTGCGCTCGACTCTGGATCGAGTGGTCTGGGTTCGAGCCACGGCCGGGACATTGTGTTGTGTTCTTAGGTAAGACACTTCACTATCACAGTGCCTCTCTTCACCCAGGTGTTTAAATGGGTTCTGGCAATTTAATGCTGGGGGTAACCCTGCAATGGACTGGCATCCCATCCAGGGGGGAGTAGAAATACTCCTAGTCGCTTCATGCTACAGAAACCGGAGTTAAGCACCGGCCTAATGGGCCACTAGGCTCGTAAACAGACTTTACCAAAAAGAGATGGCACAACACTTTTGAAAGATACAAAATAAAGAGGAAGAAGCACCTCTATGTGAAAACCTTTGCACCAACATCAATATCCATATTCTCCATACTATTCCCTATACATTTCCTTTAGTACTGACAAGGTGAATTCCTTTTTAACAATCAAAGATTCCTAGGTTGATGATCATTTCCTTTATTCTCATGACCTTAACAAATGATTAGGTACCTTTACTGTAGAGAGAAATTAGATGCTGGTGTAAAGGGTTAACAGAATTAAGAACAGACCTGCAACTTCCTACACTATCCACTTACCAGCTTGTTGTGGAAGAACTATAGTTTCTTTCAAGCCATTGAAGGAAATTTTTCGGGCTGAAACTGGGCTTGGAGGTATGGGCTGCAAATAATGGAGTGACAATGTCACAATTTCATCTAATTTAGGACAAGACACAAGTTTGACAAAAGTCACATAAGGCTTAGTGAGACCAAAAGTGGGGTTGTCAGAGATTATGTTGAGCAAGCAAGGCTTTCACCACTGATCACTTGCTTAAGAAGTTGCTTGGAAAGTACCAAGCTCTCTCTCAAGAGAAGGGAAACTGCAGAAGGCCTAAAATGAATGGTGTGGTATGGGGGGACTGAACATCAATTGTGGCAGATGGAGTCTTGAACACCACACATGGCTCCAGAAAGGGGGAGAACTGTCAATGTCCTGGGGCCTTCATGAAGGAGAGTGGGGTACAAGAAGAGTTCAACTTGCCTTAGTCTGAGTAAGAAGCTGTTGAAGTCTCTGGTAAGCCAACACTTGTATGAGACGTGGATCCAACTTGGCCAGTTCTGTTTCTGACAAAAAGTACTCAGGTCAAGAAAACTGTAGAGTCATAGTATATTTGTACAAGAAGAAGAGCAACACCCCACCATTTTGATTAGAGCTAAATCATCAATAAGTGCTACCTTCGAATACTGGCATACTGTAGGTGCCAATTTTCAACACCAAATAAGCTTAACAACACTCTGACTTACTTTCAAACATGATACATAAACCAATTAACTACAAATAAGAAAGGACAATACTGACCATTGAATGCATCAACTCCTGCGGCAGCACAGATGCTGTTTATAGCATTGGCAGTCGCCATAGAGGTTGCTGCAGCTGCTTGGTTAACTTTGTTCGGACTTGACCCTACTGACACAGGTGCTGAAGCATTCACAGTCCCAATTTTCACAGGATTGACACTTCCTGCACTTCCAGGTGCTCCTAATGTTACTATACTACCACCAGGGATTTGGCCAGTGCTAGCAGCAGACAACCCAGCAGTAGCAATTGTCTTAATGATGTTCCCACTGTTTGTACTTGTCAACACAATAAGTTTTGTTGGTGTTGATGAAGCAACTTTTGTTGTGCTGGCACCACTTGAACTAGCAGAGGTCACTGTGGAAATTGTTCTGGTGGCTGCACTGACAGTTGTGTTCACAACAGAACTTGATGATGAAACAGCAACTGTTTTTATAGAATCTGTTGTTACTTTTGCCTTAACATTATTCAAATGACCAATATCGTTGATAAGTTTTGCTGTGTCACTAGAAAGTTGTTTACATTCTGCACTCAACTGAGTCAAGTCGCCAACCTGTTTCTCAACAGTTTTAGGCTCCTGTTTGACTAAGACTTTTGAAGGTAAATGTGTTGACGACACTGTACAAACATTGACAGGGTTACCTGCACTTGCTACTGACTTTGTATTAAGTGGTCCATTCATATGAGTCTGTAATTTTGACGGAGATGCATACAAAATTGTCAGTGGTTTTGTTATTGTTTTCCCACCACTAGTAGTAGTAATAGTGGTTGTCACAACTCTACTTATGCAAGCATTTGGTACATTGCCATTAGCTGCTGTTGCAGAGACATGATTTGGTAAGTCTGACTTCGAAGGCAGACCATTTACAACAGGTTCTTTCCCAGTTCCACTACTTGTAGCATGGGCTGATCCCGAAGTTGACGAGTGATTGTTTGAGTTTGATGTTTCACCTTTAGAGGCATTGTCTGTGTGATTGGCAATCAAAGCCTTGTTTACAGATGGTTGTGTCAAATGCTTTGCAATTCCACATTGGAGACTAATCACACATTTTAACCACTGAAAATATGAAGAAAAGGATAATAGTTACATTTAAGGTAGCAGAAAAGGACATCAAAACTACTTACAGAAAAACAATTTGTAACACCTTGAGAGGAAATTTTTCAATATCACTCCCACAGTGAAACATTACTGTGTTTGTTTAAGGGACATGAAATTGCTTGCCATAAAAGTAGCTGAATAAAGCAAAGACGATTGATTCAAATTTTCAATTGAAAGGAAAAAAGAAAAATCTGAGTCTATAGCAATAATTAAACTCTAGCTCCAAACACCTCCCAAATTCTATGCAACTGGCAAACCCTTGCAATATTAGACAAGAGGATTTCCTACAACGAACAAGGGATAAAGATTAACCAAGGTCTTAAACCAAGGTACTATCAAAGTTGTTACTTATACAAGCACACACAACCCACAATTCCTCTATTCGCTCCGACAAAGGGCTAACGCTCGAAACGTCAGCTTTTGAAATCGTTACAGTTGCCAATTNTTATTATGAATCAACTTAACGGCCTGCTCCTAGTTGGCTTGTTAGCTCAATTGGTAGAGCGCTGCACTAGTATCGCAGAGGTCAGTGGTTCGAGTCCTGTACAGGCCTGATTTTTTTTTTCAGGTCTGATTTTCACTACTGCTTAAATAGCGCTATCTACTGCAAGGATCGTGCATCATACGTAGTTTCCTTTCATTGTTTAAAGGGAAATTATTATAATAATTACTTAAAACTCAATTCAAAAATTCAAAGCAGTACACTGTCGGTATTTTTTTAATAGAAATAAATGTGGTGTACAAACTAACCAAGGTTGCTCTTCTTCTTGTTGGTAAAAATTCCTTTCTTTTAAAGGAAGGATGTTTCTTCAATCTAAAATTTAACATCAATTAATTATTAAATTATGTTCAAAGTACTAAATGTAGATTAACTGATTTTACAGGAAAAGGGAGGTGACAATTACCTGTGCACACGTTGAAGAAAATTCATTTTTATAGTATGCTGCGAGATATTACTCCTAAGGTCATTATATGCTTGTAGTCTCTTGCTAAATCGAGGATCACGTAGTCCAGGCTGAAAAAAATATCATTAAAAGATTTAAAAGACAATCTTATCACAAGTACACATGTTGCAAATGATTTGGAAAATTGCGATGAACTGTTGACCATTTAAAAGTTAATATAAACAATTGCTTGTGTAAAATGTCTTAAAAATCCATGAAATATACGAGGTATAACTTGGTGCTGTCAGAATCATTAGTTTGTTTTCAAACTGATTTTGTAAAGGGGTTTATGGTACAGTAACTTTTACATTTACTGAACTCTAAGTGCCAGGTTTTTTTCAAGTAGAAAGTGCCATTGTAAAGTTCCAGAAAATATCCATACCCCTATGGAAGGTTGTTGGAAATTCTGAGGGGGAAAGGGGGTTAGAGACTAAGATACCCGAGGGTAGGGAGCTTCCTGTCTAGCCTTTTTCCAGAGGGTGGCAAATGCACAAGTTAAAAGTTTGAATAGAGGAAAGTAATAGTCACATAAATTGTTTTAACAATTAAGAAAGGAATAGAAATAAGCAAATTTATTAAATCGCTCACAGCACCCATGGGCAAGATAAAGTAAATCCTGTGTTCTGATTGGCTACCCAAGTTTGGGATTGCCCACATTGATCCCGTGCATAAAAAAAATAGAATTAGAATGAAGTTTGTAATTCTTGGGCAATTTTGGTGATGGAAATGCAAAAAGCGGCAGAAGATAGTCAAGCCAAAAAAACAGAAACGACTCTTATGAGTTTGTTGTGCTACAAACACAGTTGGCTTTCTTTCCCGGCTCTTGAATAAAACAAGTCATTCTTAATAAAGCAAAACCTTTTTGCAATATAATAAATCATATATTAACCAATCTTGTTCAGTTAGGATGGCTGGATATCAGCCTCATTCTTTTCTCACATTTTTATGGACCTCAACTTCACCTCAGTCCATAAAAATGCAAAAAAAGAACTCAGCCAATATCCCAGCCATCTTGACCTCATGCTTGGTAACACATACATATTGTCTAATCAATTGAAAAGTGGCAGTTCATCAAGACTTTTCCTAATATCATGCAAGGTTTCTTTGCAGTACGTTCAGGTTTTGTGTAATTTCTAGGTCCCTTTCCAAGGCTCAGCTGCTCATCCAGTAGTTTTACTTGCAGCTGATCATTAACTACATTGCTTCTACGTTTGTATTAGCGATGTCAGGTGGAGGTATTAAGGTGGCTGAACACAGTTTTTGCATGCGCTTTTGCTGATTGCAAAAAACAAAAATGCCGTCAATAGAACAGTCATTTTATTTACTTAGCACGTATCAACACTATCTGTGCTATATTTCTCTATAGTTGGCTCAGTGTATTGAGGGCTTTAATCTTTTATTACAAAGACGTGTTAGGAAAGTTAACAGTGCAAAGAACCCAGCATTTCTCAGCTTTTTCGTCATTTCCAAAAGAACCCAGTTAAATGCAGCCCATGCGTAGCAAGTCAAAAAATTACGATTGAATGAAAAATTGCTTTCTCAGAAATATACCCATTTCTTGAGAACCACTCATTAGAATTTCATGAAATTTGGCAAGAAAATACTTTAGGAAATAAGTAACTGGAGTATTGAAAAAGATTGATTTTTCACAAAGGAAATTCTAGATAATTGAGTGAACCTTCAACAAGGGATAATTAAAGATCTCTCTGTTAAATTGTTAGCAAAATGGTGTTAACTTGTGAGTATCGTTACAAGCTCGTTGCATGCAAATTATAAAGAAAATCTAATGACTAGATTTTCTACAAATAAACAAAGTTGATTTTAAAGGCCTGTTTATATTTATTCAAGTCGCCATGGCAATGAGACATACGTCAGCTTAACCATCAAAAAAGCAAAGTTTGTGTTGTTAACTTGCTTGCTGCCAGTTTTGGCAACCAAGAGATCAAGGGTTTTAGAGAAAATGGTGAAAGAAACACAGGTATCAAAACCTGTGTTCAGCCACCTTTAATTATAACACACATTAACTAGTGCAAATTATGGAAGACAGGCAAGGTAAAGAACAGACATGACAAATTAATCCTATTCCTTTTTAGTGTTTTCAGCTGCATTTTCCATTAGTTTGTGTTTAGCAAGCCAGTCTAAAAAGTGTATGTTTACAGTTACAGTTTTTGTGATGTGATCAAGAGTCTTAAACACTTGAGAAAATTATGAATGTAAACTACGCAACAACAAACAAATTTAGCCATATTTTAATATTGATGCAAGAAATCAAACATTCCAGAACAGCAAATGGATAAGTCTTAGATAAAATAGCAAAGTGTTGTATTGTATGGCTACAATAAAAAAGTAATTTAAAAAAATTGATTGTAACAGTGTGAGCTGTCAATTTTCCACATATAAAATGACTTAGAGCTTCTGAGGGGTAAAAGATAACGCTAAAAAATCCAGAAATTCCAGAGGGGAGGGGGGTGCTTCATAAACACCCCTGGAATGGAAATTCCAAGGGAATGGGGAGGTTAAAAGGTAAAAAACCTTCCATGGGGGGTATGGATATTTTCTAGTACTACACGTTCTCAGAGATGTACATGTATGCTCAGAAAATTATTTTTACAATTGACAAACTCTGACAAATGTTCAAGCTCTTTAGTGTCCATAGATTGAGAGAACATCAGGAACCAACAATGACCTTTGGAGGTCTACCCACTCTTATGATTACCATTCAAAGCTTGAAGGTCAACTTGAGAAATGACAATAACAAACAGATGATACATGCCAATGACAAGAAATTTTACCTCAGCATGCTCAGCATGATTTGGACACATCCACATGCCACTTGGTACAGTGGTCAGGGGAGGGTTTATACAGTCCATGTGAAATGCCAAGGGGCAGAAGTCACAATGAACAAGTTGCCCAACCAAATCACTCCTGTAGAAACAACAAAGAATGATTCACTACTTGAATCCCTTCAATTTTCTTTGATTTTTATTTACAAGATTTGCCGACAGGCAGGGACACCACAACAGTTGGGCCAATCACTGCAGGCCCAGTAACCCACCCATCCCACCCCAGGGGAGGACATCCATTACACAGTAACCTCGTGCATGGGAAATTAACGTCTCCTACCCCTAACCCTGCAGGAGACGGGACCTCCATTTATTCATCCCTATGCGAGAAGACTAGAATATCTAACGGTTTCTTGATATTATAGAAAGGCAGCATATTCTTCTCAATTATTTTAAGACCTTGAGTGTTAGTCCGGCCAGGGCTCAAACCCCCAACCTCCCACAAAAACAGTCCAGCACTCTATCCATTGAGCTAACCGGGAGGCTGTTATAAAGTAGTATGTGAAAATCTTGATTAAGATGTTACTTATGTCTTACCGACTACAAGCAAAACAAAGTCGCCCAGGAGGAATCATGTGTTCTTCCTCATCAGTATGTCTTTTCCCATTTTTTACGGGAATTGTCCTTTCTTCAGTACTATTTTTCCTTTTTCTGTCACCTTTTGAAAAATGAAAATGTCTGTCTTAGAGAAAATAAACCACCATTCTACTTAAATACACACATTAAGAACAAACTGAAATAGAGGTACATGCATGTGCCTTTCAAGACAACATGAGATATCTTTTACCTATTGCATATTAACATCATTACCACCACTTGAACAGGTTCTAAAAAAATTTTTGTTTTCCTTAATCAGCAATTAATTTCGTTTCATAGTCTGTAACATACCAACAAACAAAAACAATACTAACCAGGAAAGAAGGTATTACACTTCAGTTCAGGTGGTAAAGAAAATGTAGTTGGGTTTTTTCCAGTTGTCATTTTTACCAGTGTAGAAAATGGAGATTCTGGTTTTGAGTTCTCAGTAACTTTAACAGTTGGTGCCAAATGACCATCAGTTTTTATTCCATCATTTACAGGGTCTTTCCCTTTATTATCAGTATCCTGGACAAAAATCACACCAATTTTGTAAGTTACTCCAAAATGGATGCAAGACTTTTTTTTTTTTTTCATGTTACGCTACCTTTTCAGATCATAGTATTACAGTTACATGCAAGACAAACAAAAAACAAAATCTCTCTAGTTTCAGCAACATCAAGTAAAAATTTAACTTCATCAGTTTCACCTGGTTGCAAAGAGTATGACTTCTATCACTGCTATAGATATTTTCCATCATTTCCAAATTATTTTTTACAGTAGACAGACACAAAATTGATCATCAATTGCTAATCATAATCTCAATAAGACCAAAGTGAACTCTAGTAAGAAAAAGTCAAAGTTCTATTTTAAAGGAATCGTTACAATTTTTCTTACATTTCAACCATAGGAAATTTAACTTTCCATTACATTGTGGCTACATCATGACATGCAAAGAATAGGATTTTCAAAGAGGAAGTTGATCTACTGTGGCAACTGTCTGAATGAGACTAAACAAAATAATTTTGCTATTATATTTATAATAGAATGGTTATTCTCTTAGACAATACCTACCTCTTTGGGTAATGCTTTACATTCATTACAGAGCCATTCGCCGTCAGGGATGTCATCTTCTTCTAGCGGAGGATCACTGAAAACAATATACAACAATTAAAAATGACATCAATACAACAACAAGAGACTTCTTTCACCTGGCATTGCAAGAAAGCCCCAAATTTCTATGGACATAAGAGACTACACAATCATAAAATAAAAAATGGAAGTCAAGTTTAGAATCAAAAAAAGAGGAAAAAGTGACCAGATATCAACCTTCTTCAGATTATCTTATGCAAGAAAGTAATTTCTCACACACGACTGTCAGCCATGCCAAGCCGACCATGCAACCACACTTTTACCTTCAATCCAGGGTTTGTCACATAAAAAAGTGCAAGAAACTACACTCCAATCAAGTTTGAAAAAAATATGGTACTTTTACATGGTTAGATACTAGGAGGAACCATAAAATAAAGGAGCACTATGGAACATCTTGTCAGTACTTTTATGAACAAAGAATGGTACACTAGACACTACATGTCCAGTAACTGTAATTCAATGAAATGTAGATATATAAGGATCCATGTAGTGTAGAGTAATACTACACAACAGACAATGACATCTTACAGTTGGCTTTAATTTGGCTGTACACTCATGTAATCCCTCATCTAAATTGCAGTTATTTTTGTATTCATATGCTAGAGATTAAACATCTCCATTTAACACAAAACAACTAAAAAGATAGTTAACTGTACCACATTTCAAAAGATTGGCAAAAAAACCCCAATTGAGAGGTATAACAATAAACAGCTCAGCCAAAATGATTACAAAAAAAAAATAGATTGGTACTGTTTAAACTATAGAAGAACTAGGTAATGAGCAGACAGGGAAGAAGCATATATTAAGCAAAATAAGCTTCATGTTTTCATATACTACAGTAACTATACAACAAAGTAACTGATTTCTCCTGTTTGGTTGTTCATAAATTTATCCCACCTCTGGGAAATTTTACATATCTTGACCACTACATCTAAAACAAAATATCTTGAGGGCAAAAGACAACATTCTGCTGAGTTTTATGATACTCTTTAGGCTTTAACTGTGAACTAAAAGCTCACTCCAGAAACAGACCTGCGAATACTTTCTGACAATCAATAACATATAGTGTGAAAAAAAGATATTTCAATTATCATGACACAATTTATATTTAGAGAAAATACTACTTTCAAAAACTTTAAACTAGACCAAGAGGAATATTTATAATTCACTAAATATGCGCGCTGTTCTCGTATTTTGGAGTAGACGTACTACGCGAGTAGAGACAATTTGGCGTAGAAGTCTCTACTGTTAAATGTCGATTCGAAGAATAAAACTTGACAGAGACTTCACATTTTAACACAGTGTATGATTGGAAATGTAATTCGTGAAGAAATATTTGCAACGCAGCTTGACGAAAATTAAGATAGTTAACATCAGCTGTAACAACAAGCGGGTATGTAATAAGTTAAAATAAGCAGTTATACTGTAACATGTTACAAGACCTTCACACAGGAGTGTTGAGAAGTCAAGGAAGAAATCTCAATTCGGATCGAAAATTTAAAGTCACCGATAAAGACCTCCTTTAACAATGTATGAATATAAAATTATAATTGAACTAACCAGCAAGTCAAGTGAAAAGCGCAGGGACATCGCTCGCAGCAGAGTAAATCGCCTCCTTCGCCACAACTGTCACAGTTGTCGTTGTTGACAGCACGTCCTTGCTTCCGCGCCTCTTTGTCTCCTTTTTTTATCCTCTTCCCTAAATCTTCCGACTGCGGAGGTTGGATAAGGGCTTGAATCCTCTGTAAATAATAAAGAAATGGGTATGTAATAAAGGTAAACAACTGGTGCGAGTCGAGTTTCAAAGCAAAAATTGAGGAAAGGAACTGAGAGCTTCTACGCACGTCCATCAAACTTCCTTCTGGATCCAAGTGGTCGTAATCCATTTTGCAAACTTCTAAATTACTACCAAGACTGTTATCTACCGTTAAGTAACCACAACAACAAAATTGGAGTTTTTCTATCCAAGAAATTCCAACTTAGGGGAACAATTCGAACAAATTGCCGCCCTTAAATTTTTCAGAATTGAGAGGCATTTTCTAAGCCCCTCGCCGATAAAATGTCTTGCGATTCAGCCCACTACTAGCTGTATTATTTCTTTATGATATGAAGCAAAGAAGTTTGCTAAAACTGCAAGCTTAAGACAAAAGTGCCTAATTTAAGTACGAGAAACCCACTGTTAGTCTCGGAAAAACAGAAGAACAAATTTTGTCCAACTAAGGGCGCATGCGCTGAAGACTTATTGCGCATGAGCAGCTCTTTTCGCGCGCTACCGCTGGTCTAGCTAATGCTCAAAATTCTCCTCAGGTCTCACGCGGATTTGAAAGGGAGACTTTTTGGCGATGTGTTTGCCCAAACTTGCTTAAACAGCTTCACAGGCGTCATCTTGGATCAAATTTATTACCCAAAACAGATAAAATTCCGGTGTTTGTTATCGGCTTGAGACAGGAGACCATGACCTGTTCTTTTGCCAGAGATCAGATTTTCTGACTTACAGAGGCATTTGCCCGATCGATTGGACGGTCAAGGAACTGGGACGTAGGCTAAAAACCCAAAAAATATCAAAATTATATTTCCAATGTGTCAAACCTCATTCCCAGGATCTAGCTAAGCTATGCAGTGGCTGGCTGGCTATGATTAAATGTTTGACGTAGAATTTTGAAACCGTTCCTCGGGGTGGGGCTTTTAACTGTGAAATCCATCCTGGATCAGAAGGAGATAACCGTAAACACGTTATCATCTACTAGATCAGTTAATAAAAAGAAGTTATGGAAAATGGCTCTTAAAGTGTAGCGATTCTGATACTCTTACCACCCGATAGAAACCATTTTAGAGTCTTAGCAGAAATCTTGACACATCGTTAGGATTGATTACCATCTGGCAAATGTCATAGAGAAGTAAATTGAAATGAATAATTGAACACATATGTACAAGATAACTTTCGAACGCCTTTCACCCTTTCAGTCTCGGGAAATCTCGGATCCTGGACAAAAATCTATGGCACTAGTATAGTTTTAACTGCTTTAAGAGTAAACCTATTAAAGCATAAGGCACTGTCGTGGTGAAAAATCTCACCCCCACACTTCTTCTTCAAAATAAGTTGACAGGTATAATTTGGAAGAGAAAATAAAAGGCAATTTGGAAGGGAATATTTACCGTTTTGTGTTTTGTTGGATGCATTTCCTTGAGACTTCAGATTCATAATTTTGTGAGAATTCTAGGTGAGGGTTTGTGTTGAGGAAGGAAAATATGTCAATTTCGTATTGCTTTGAGAAGCGCGTTTTAGTGGTTGTTTTTATAAACCATTGAATAGATATGTGGCGACGACTGCTAGAGGCAAGAAAGATAAATTAGTGTTCCCACGATGAATACAAACATCCCCCTTCCCACCCCCACCGCGCCTATTGACAATTTTGCCACCCGAGTCCCGTTTCCAGGGTCGCGCGAAACTGTTACGTGATTGTCACAGAATCCTCAGTTTTGTACCATGGAGCCGCTTCATATTAAAACACCACTGTTTGAGAGTCATGCGATGACTAAACTGGCGGGATTCCCTGTTTACTTAAAGCTAGAGAACGTACAACCACCAGGATCCTTCAAGATTCGAGGAATTGGCAATTTGTGTCAGAAGGTTTGCTGATCATATTAATTTTTCCCTGGCTCACTACTTTTTCTGCAAAATTTTGATACACTTCCAGCTATAATCGTTAAATGTTTTTGTTTGGATGATTCAAATGACGGTTACGTTACTGGCTTCTTAATCTGGTTTAAAATGTCTTCCAAGCTAAAAAAAAACGCAAAGTTTACTAGTCAGAAGGGACACGTGTTCTAAAATTATTGTTTTTATTGAAAATCAATGTTACGTTTCCTTAGAATTGTTTAGTTTATTGGAAAGAATTATGCCCGAAGTTCTGATGCAGCTTGCTTATGAAAAGCAGCTGATATATAAATTTGTTATTAGTTGTACAAGAGTAAGAAACATAATGGAAAAAGAACAACTGAACCTCTCCAATTTATCAGGTTGCTTCAGAGGAACTTTTGGCTGCCTTCAAGTTAAAATAAGGATGTGCCACAACTGTCGAAAATGCTATAAACCACTCAGAGGGCCATTTGTTATGGCACAAATTCTCCTTTTCAGCACTTAGGAAAAGTTATGGAGAACAATACGGATAATATGCTACAGATGTTTGGGTGACAAATGAAAACTAGTATTTTTTCTGTTGGTTCCAGGCCATGCAAAGAGGATGCAATCATATGGTTTGTTCATCAGGTAAATTTTAGTTAGTCCTGTGAAGGTTACCTATTACTAGCCATTGTAAAACAATTCTCTACCCTAAAGAGATACAGTGCTGTATTAACTGTGAGCTGGAGGAGTAAAAAAGTGGAGGGATTTCCTCAGAGTGGTTTAGGGGAGATCCTGTTAATCTTTATGAGGGTCCCCTATGCCCCTTTGCAAAACTCAGTCACATCAAATTATTTTGCCTTTTCACGGATCAACAAAGAACGTCCAAAACTCTTTCATGTTCTTGCAAAATTTGAGATGATCACATGGATTAATATTTTTACTTTTTCTAGTCTTAAGAAGTCTTACAAAAGACAAAAAAAAAAAGATGTAATGTCCTATTTTATTTGTTTAAGAACTATTAGTGTTCTGTTGTATGACTTTTATCAATCCATATCAAGTTCGTCTGCAGTCAAAACCTAACCACAGCCATTCAAGAACAATACATACATTTCCAAAACTATAAGATAGCTGGAAATTCGTCACATAAAACAAAATGGTTCACAAATCACATTTGATTCAGCTCTTGATTCATGGATCATGTTTAAATAAAAAAATTCATTCACCTGGACATGAAAAGATCTTATTATCTTCAATCATGATTCATGAATAAGAAAAAAGTCAAATCAAATTCACGAGAAAAAAAATATCTGAATCATGCTTTGTGGAAAAAGTCTGGAGGACCTTCCTTTATCTTAAAATGAAAAGGCTATATAACGATGTTTATAGTTCTAAGTTAATAGAAAAAGGTTAGTCTGAGTTGCTTTGTCTGTGGTAAAAAGTTTTCTTTCTAAATACAGTGTCTTAAATAGGGTAGAAAAAGGTTTTGATTATTTTTGTGTGTGTAGTTTTATGAAAGAAGCTATCTTTCTAGTTAGAACTGGTTTGAAAATGGAGGATGTTTGGCACTAGTAAGGCAGGCCATCCCAGACAAAACTATGTTGGTAACTTCCTCTGCATTATTTCTTCTGTGTTGGGAAATTCAGGGCCTAATGATTGTTGGGCTGGACTCTGGGTGGAGGGGTCAGGGTAAAGACCTGGCTGAGTCATTGTGTTGCGTTCTTGGGCAAAACACTTAACTTTCATAGAGCCTCTCTCCACCCATGAGCATAAATGGGTAACAGTAAATTGTCAGGGATGCCTGATGAAATGCTGTGGGATAACCTTGCAATGGACTGGCTGGAGAGAAGTAATTCTTCTATCCACTTCATGCTAGGGAATCTGGGATAAGTTCCACATAGATGGGCAGTGATCATATATTGAAAACTGTGTTGGTGGCTGTCCTTTATAAACTATTCAACCTTGTTTGTCTGATGTCAGGTGGCAATGCTGGGCTTGCAGCAGCATATGCAGCTAAAAAACTTAAGATCCCTTGCACTGTGATTGTACCAGGATCAACACCAATGTTTATTGTGGAAAGACTGAGGGAAGAAGGAGCTACAGTTGAAATCTGTGGCAGTGTAAGTTGATAAAGATGACATGAACTTTTGTTGAGTTAACAGCTTGTAAAGGAGCTAGAATTGTTATCTTTTGAAACGTTATACACAGTTTACCAACTGAAATTACCATCAACAAGAATTAAAAGCACAAAGTTGTTGAGTCTTCAACCCCTTGGAGTGACTAGCATCTAATTTCTCCTTACATTATAACTTCTGGTAATCAAAGGTTATGAGAATACAGAAAAGGATCACCCACTGAAAAGAAGCTCTTGATTGTTAAAGAAATTCTCCTTGTCAATAAAACATAGGAAATGTATAGAGAACTTATTTTACTATGTAAAGGGTTTATTTCAATTGATAAGATAGAAAAAACACAAAATCAAAAAAAGATCTGACTAAACTGTAGCAGCCGGATAGCTAAGGATGAGAAGATCAACATGACTTCCAATCCACCAACGTGCAAAATTGACATAGCTCTGATAACCTTTTAACTCCCAAATCTGATTATTAATTCTCCCCTTTAATTGTTACACATTTCCTTATAAATTAGCACCACATTTCACATTGTTGTTTAGTTCCCGCCATTAGCTTGCATGGCGTGATGCATTGTGCACACTGTCATTTGATTAGTCTGCTTCATTTTTCCACTTTGTATGCACTCTGTTGTTTAGTTCACCTCATTGTCACACAATTGGCGCATAATTAGCACGGCACCTTTGTCCCCCCCTTTTTTTGCCAGCTCTTTCTTTTTATGTACGTCTCTTGTCTTCGGTCAATAAACGTCTTCTCTTGCTCAGAGTTTCGGCTCAACTTATTGGCGTAGTTAGAGAGAATTTGGTGTTAAATCAAGAAAACAACTTCTACCTGATAAGTTTGAGTATTCTCATTACCTGTTTGCTGGATGATGTATGGATATTATGGGGAGAAGTTACATGTTAATTACTTCTTTGAGTTTAAGGGTTAAGCCCTTTGTGCTAATCTCAATAACCTCATGAAAGGTTGCTTTTGGCTGCAAAGCAACAATCTTTTTACCTAAGTTCATGAAGGTATCTAACAAAGAATTACATGGGAATATTGGTTTTGAAACTTGTTCTACTTTTTGACTGATGTCATAGTCTTGGGATGATGCAGATGCAAGAACCTTGACACTAGCAGAGCAGCCAGGTAATTAAGACCAAAAATTCATTGGCCCTCTATTTAAGTAAATTGCTGTTAGAGGTTGGCATATAGAATTTGAATGGATGAGAATCTGTCTTCATTGAAAAGTCCCTATGATCAGTTAAATGTGACTTAAGGTTCTGTCATGTGAGCAACCCAAAATTTAGTTCTTGTGGCTTGTTACATGATTTCATATTTTTTTTGGAATTCTTGAGCACTTTTTTGTTTACTTAGTAACTTTCAAGATCTGATTGATGATTCTCCGCTCTAGCTGCTACACATTTCCTTGTAAATTAGTTTTGAGAATGTATTAGATCTAGTTGACAACTCCTACCCAATAAGTTTTTCTGTAGATATTATAGGGAGATGCTAAATGTTAATCCCTGTGGAAATTAAGGGGTTAACATTTTCATTGAATTGGCCAAATTTCATAAAACATGGTTTCTTTCATAAGTGTTCCAAGTTTATTGTTTGCCTTTTCTTGTCAAATTGAGTTCAGTGTTATACTAGTTTCCTTAAGCTATCTTTATCTCTTAGGCTATGCTTATATTCCACCATTTAATCACCCTGATATCTGGTAAGAACAATTTGTTTTTTTAAATGCTGATTTTTAGCAAATTACATTTCAAAAAGTGTGATTTGTTGACTCACTTGATTCATATTAATATGTAATTGGAGAGCAGGGATGGTGCAGTGGTAAGAGCACTCGCCTCCCACCACTGTGGCCCGGGTTCGATTCCCAGACCTGGCTTCACATGTGGGTTGAGTTTGTTGTTGGTTCTCGTCCTTGCTCTGAGGGTTTTTCTCTGGGTCCTCCTGTTTTCCTCCCTCTGCAAAAACCAACATTCCAAATTCCAATTAGATCTGGAAACAGTGGACAAGAAGAGCCACCCAGTGGAATGTCCATTGCTAAATTATTATTTATTGTTTATTATTTATTTATTTATTTAATAATAATAAAATACAAAAAATTGGAGGAGAGAGTGAAATTGGATGGGTGAGGGTGTAATTTGTCCAACATCCTGAGAAATAGAGGTTGCAACCCTTTTGTTGTGTATCGTAGCTGTAGAGGGGAGGACAGTTTTGATGAAAGGAGGCATTTAAAAGAGCAAATTTTGGGAACTCTGTGCAGAATGCCGTACAAAATTTTGTTCAAGTAACTTCCTCCCTTTCCTGCAAATGATGTTATCTTAACCACTGATTTTGATGTCATTCCTTTGTATACCAGTCACAAAGTAACTTTACTCTGCAGGGAGGGTGTGGCCTCTGTCATTCATGAATCAGCTGCACAGCTGCCAGAGAAACCAAGCATTGTTGTGGTATCTGTTGGTGGAGGGGGGCTATTGTCTGGGGTGTTACAAGGTATGCACAGTGTAGGGTGGACTGATGTCCCTGTTGTTGCCATGGAGACCAAGGGAGCAGACAGTTTTAATGCATCAGTTCAAGCAGGGAAGCTTGTTACATTAGATGCTATTACAAGGTTTGTGTTAAAAAACTAACAGTTATGCGCTTTGCAAATGTCTAGCTTAAGAGTCGAGGTGTAGAGTGAATAGCAACCAAAATCCAGGGACCGAGGTTTTTTCTGCCAGCAAACACCCCCAGAATACCAAATTTTTCCTTGGATGATTCCTGACAATTCATTTGGAACCTCTCATAAGAGAATGAGACAGCGTTGAAATAAGTTATCTTGCTATTACTTTTCCTGACTGTGTTGCACAACTCTTGTAAATAGCACCTCAACACTTGCACCTTCGTTATTCAAACCCACCAACCACAATACATGTAATTACCACATCTGCCCCTGCACCCTTATATATCTGTGGACAAGCTCATTAAAGTGCAGTTTTGAACACGATAAGTAACGGTCAACTGTAGATAACCTCTAAACATGACCCAGCTTAACTCGCTCACGGCCATCAAAGTACGGTGGGGTTGGGATGAAGGGAGACCTCCACAGCCATCTGAGTAGGGTGGGGTGGGGGTAAAGGTTGACTTCTCCTCAGACGTAAAGGAAATTGGGATCTTAGCAATGCGGTGATTGCCAGTCTGACTTGATCAAAGTTAACTAGCTTGTTGTATTTATCATCAGCGTTGCAAAGTGTTTAGGTGCAAGAAGAGTAGCAACAAATGCACTTGAATGGACTAAGAACCACAAGATAATAAGTCATGTGTGTAGTGACAAGGAAGCTGTCTTAGCATGCGACAAATTTGCAGGTAATACTTTTTTTTATTCTTTCTTATGGTAGCTTAAGATCGTCACCGAGCAGGAATTTTCTGTATCTCTTCATATTAGTTTTCTTTTGATATTTTTCTCGCAATCACTGTCAATCTGTCACTAAAGCAAAAACAGACCCGTTCAGCGATTGTCATTTGTCAGGCCTTAACCCTCTAAGAATTACTGGCTTCTAAAGTCTCCTTTCATTATCACCCTTGAATCAAAGGAAAAGGTCATGAGAACAAAGGAAATGTCTTGATGCATTGGCCCCTACCATAACCGAGATGGTTAACATGTCTCTTCCGACTAATCTCGTTCCTGATAACTGGAAAACTGCCCTTGGTATTCCCCATTCCCCTACTCAAAAAGCCCGGCCTTGATTTGGTTCTTAAAAATTTTCGTCCTGTCAGTAATCTTCCTTTTATCTCTAAGGTTGCGGAAAAGGCTGTACTTCAGCAACTGCTTAACCACTGTGAAAATTATGCACCTCTTCCTAAATTTCAATCCGGTTTCCGTAAGTTTCATTCGACGGAAACTGCTTTGCTGAAAGTTCAGAATGATATCCTGTTACATATGGACAAAAAGCGCTCTATAAATATATTATTCTTATTATTATTAACTTGAGAAGTTATGATTGTTACACGAATTCTCCTTGCAAAGGATAGAGAATTGGATTATATATCAAGTCGTGCTTCGTCAGTTTGCGCCATGTCTGACGTGAAATCCTCGTCGCTTTCGTTTCAGATGATCACCGTATGTTAGTTGAACCAGCTTGTGGCGCGGCCCTGGCGTGTGTGTATGAAAGACTTTTCAAAGTGTGGCAGGAGCAAGGAAAGCTTGGGGAACTAAAATCGGCTCTTGTTATTGTCTGTGGGGGAAATTTAGTGTCTTTAAAAGCAATGAAAGAATGGAAAGACCAACTTGGGCTTAGTTGACAAAGAAGAGTTCTTATCGTCGTGGAAACCTTGGGAAAACGAGGCGATTTGGATTCGTAATGTACGGGGTTACTCGGAGCTGTATCGGATACCATCGGAGAAACACTCGCTTTTTTATTCGGAGTCGCTTCGTCAGTTTTCGAGAGCTATACTTAATTTTTCCTCTGCCCTGTGTTCTAGTCCAGGTTTATGATATTTCAATGGGGTTATATTCACTGCAGCCCGTAGGTGGGGTGTTAAGAATGTAGATAATGAACTGAGTTTTTAATGTATAAAGGCTGATAGTTTCTAAAGAAACTGGTTGGGGCTGCGTCGGTGGGGGTAACGAAATAATTTGAATATATCAACAAAGTTGAAATGGTAAATTTGCCACCGTTACGATTATAAAAGCAGACGTTTCGAGCGTTAGCCCTTCGTCGGACGCCCTTCAGCGTTAGCCCTTCGATCCGACGAAGGGCTAACGCTCGAAACGTCAGCTTTTATAATCGTAACGGTGGCCCATTTACCATTTCAACTTTGTTGATATATTCAAATTATGACTTTTTAATGTATTGAAAGTGGTTAAAGAGGTGTGACTGACTTTTTTCCAAGACCTATTCACAACTGCTTTTAAAGTACAATACAGTGTAAGCAGTGTAACACGAAAATTATATCTTAAATAGATTTTTTCCTCAACCGCAGTCTTTAAAGGCGTTCTCCAGTGGAGAATTTTTTAAATTTCGTAATCATTTGGCTGAGTTATCGAAATAACATCACTGCGGGAGAACGAAAAACATCAGAGGACACCACTTGACATTTGACATCTGATTGGTCAAGGGTGCAGGAACTCTGCCGTGATTGGTGGAGCCAATCTGCCTATCAAAAGCAAAGGAGCACCATCAGAAGTGACTGAACAGTTTCCACCCGTTTTTCTTCTTCGCTTGAACATCAAGTTATTTTAGAATCAAACATTTTTATTCACGACTTAATGACTGAGTGGCGGAAAACGGCAGTATTTTCAACCCTTGACGTATTTACAAAAAGTATCACCCCAATCTTTTTCAAATCTGATTTTCAAACCACCGACAACTGAACAATTTAGAAATGACGTTACTCAAGTATTGTCCAAAGAAATATTTTACAACTGTTCATTTTGTAGAAAAGACATCTCTGAAAATATTTTTCCTCTCGACCAATATTTACTTCCTAAGGAAAAGAAAGAGAGAAACCAGAGTGAGTTACTTTAAAATCCAAAGTACGAATGTTGTGTATTAAATGCTATGTCAATCATTGAAACCGGGAAAACTTTTTGCTAAAGAAAAATTAAAATTCCACAGGAGCAGGCCAGTCGAACTTACGAGACCAGTCGATAAATTCCGTAAGAAATTATAGCACCAACAGCAACCACAACACAAGCTTTTCTGTAGAGAGAGATTTATCATTAGGTATTAGAACAAACTTCCAAACAAGTTACCAGAATGTTTAAGATGGATTTAAGGCGTTAAGTCAAAGTGTATACGAAATGTGGGTGGATGGAGCAGATTTCGACTTCCAAATAAAATTTAACATTAATGGGCTGATTACTTGTTGCCATGCGCGGATTAGATTGATACAGAAAAACAACCATTTGTCCCCGAATGAAACTTGACCTCTGAACACCACAAAAATCGCACTGCCAGCTAGAGTTTAGGAGGTGAAATAGCTACCAGAAATTTTAGGTTTGTTCTGTTCTACACCTATTCTGCTTTGTTTTCATATCTAGAATGTCACACTACTAACAGCCTAGGTCAGTACCAGTCTTTCTCAACCGAAACTTACCCCAAAGAGGACTCGGGACAAATTTTTGATTCCAGTACCTCTCCCAGTTTTATATGGTATGTAAAGCTGTCCGTGGTATTGACTGGGGCCATATCTGGGAGCTGCTCAGGGACTGTAATTTTTTTTTGCCGACGTTCATCCGTTAGGGGCATTTCCATGACCATGCACGAGGCGCCTGTTTCAGGTTGGTGTAGTTCAACTGACTCGACCAATTGTTCCGCAATGAAGACATTGCTGTCGGATAGTATTGAGGGCTCGGCGGAAGTGACATCAGCGGGTTCTGTTGCAGCGACCATGTACTCTTTCTCGTCTTCGTCGATTTCAGATTCAACTTCCGTCTGTTCTCGCTTTTGTTCGTTTTCGTACTACAGACGAAAAAAAAAACAGATCAAGACAACAACAAGAATAAAGATAATATAAAATCACTTTTTATGAAGTATTATGACAGCTAAGGATACTAATTACAAGGAGAAAGTTACGAGTTTTCTAGCAAGTGATAATAATGATAACAGTAATGATAACAGGGGGCTCACGTCACTGAAAAGTGGTATTCTGTGAGGCCTTGTAAAATAAAATAAAAGCCACCATAGATAAAACTAAGTTAAGAACATGGAAATTATAAAATGCACTTAATATTTTTATAAAGGTTGCTGAATTACACAATCGATTATAGCCTGAATTTCAGCCGTCTCTTCCCTTTACCCCAAGGGGGGCGATTAAACACTAATTTAAAAAAAATGCAAATCAAAGCAATTTCCCTGGTCACTTAGAAACAAATAGAAAGTTCCCAACCAATCTACACGAATTAAAGCATCTCGTTCAACCAATCAGATGCAAGGGCGAACTCAATCGCGATTTGGTCAGACTTGTTTTTTCCGCGCTTAGCATCTCTATATTTGCTCTGACTTGTGATTGGTTAATTTTTTTTCTCTCTTAGATTTGATTGGCTATTGTCATGAACTGGACCTCTATCTTGATACTGACCTGCTCAAGGAGTGTTTCTTTGGACGAAATCAGCAAACACAAAAACCGGATGAGGGTCAGAAGGACAAGAGCAATGTACAATAGCGGATAACCGATTTCATAAGGTGCATTCTTCTTCCACACTGGAAAAAAAAAATAAAGAACAAGGGAGCGGTTACACAGTCGCTTCTTCACATTTGCTCCTTTTTTTTTTCTAAGCGTTTTCAAGGACTTGGTAACTATAATTTGCTCTGATATTTCCTCAGTGTGTTCGCATCATGAAAACAAGTTACGATGAGTTGATTTAAACCTGTGCTAATTCAAAAACCAAAACTTGTAAGAATGTTAGATTGTTCAGTTCAGATCGTTTGTATGCCGTGTGTAAGCCGCCGTTTGTATGGTGCCGGTAGTTTTTAACATCTGTGAGTCTGTTCTAAATTAGCGACCGGCTTTTCTGAGTAGGTCTTTCAAAGTAGTTAGTACTGCAGGTTGAGCATTGCGTGGACTCACAGTCATTGGTGTGTTTCAGAAGTCGTTTCTCGTCGCCCGTTTTTGTTCAGTCAGTCTTGTTTAGCGGTTGTAAGATGTTCGGTTCGTGCTTCACCATGGTGAAAAGGTCACTTACGCATCCTTTGAGAGAGAACGTTGGTTTTCTTAAAAACTAAAATGCAACAATCGTCCAAAACTTACCTTCTGAAATCCAATAAAGTCGTGCGTAAATGTCGGAAGCTGCGGAAGCCGGAAAAAGAACAAGATATGAAATTGCCCGCTTGATCTTCGCAAACCGAAAAATCGTGCGAAATGACAATTAGTTCTGTGTGTGTGTGGTTAAAACATATTTTCAACGCTGATTGCTGTCAATGGAGGGAAAAGGCAAATTAGATTGCTCTCTACATCCTTTTCAAAGTTAAAACTTAAAAAAAAAAGAAAAAAAGAGAGAGCTATAAAAAACGAGCCATCATGAAAAAAATGCTTACCTGTGTCGGAGCTTGTTACATCTATGGGAAAACAACCCATATCATCTTCAGTTCTTGATATCTGTAGTGCCGTAACCAAAAACCAAACCAAGAAAACAACGGTTAACTTTCTCATTATGCTGAAGAATTTTGCCGCACCGCTGTAGACAAAATTTCTTCAAATTAAACGAGAGCTCCAGCTTGAATAAAAACACGCATTCGGCAAGGAGCAGGTTTTGTACAAGTTTACGTCATAAACAGCTCATTTATGACGTAGTTTTCACAAAGCGTTCGATTAGTTTTTCCGAGTTTCTCATCACTTTTATTCATTCAGCGTTTTAAATTCGGAAAATCAGCGAAATCGATAAAGAAAATGCCAAGATGGTCGACAACAGTTACACGCTAACAAATTAAAAATATGCAGTGAATTTTGAAAATCACGTCAACTCAGTGCCAACTTTTAGCACGCGCAAGGTTGCGCATGCGTGATTTCATTGATTGAAATCGTACCTGTTAGGTATGAATAACCCAAATAAAAATGGCTAGAACCATGACGAGGGAACGGTTAAAGGACCAATTTGTATAGACAGTGCTAGTTTTCTTCAGGTCCACAGTATTTTGCAAGACCAAAGTAACACAACAGTTGATGCCTCTAAGAAAGAGAACACGGTTCTAACGTTTGTCAAAGTTTTACAGCTCTCCTCGAGGAGAAAAGAGGGCAGTCTTCATACATACATACATACATACATACATACATACATACATACATACATACATACAGACAGACAGACAGACAGACAGACATACATACATACATACATACATACATACATACACACTTTATTGCAACTCCCTACAAGAGTTTTACAGTTACAAGGCTACATTAATAACCACACTAAAATAACTAAATAAATAACCAAATAAAAAAGGTAATGAATACGCGATAGAAAACTAGTGAACTACATTAAGAAAGAGAAAAAATTTCCGGCATGATACAATGAATCGGATCTACTATTTACAAATTCATAGATTAATCAGAAAAAAGAAAATTAACAATTCTTTTTCTAAAACCTTTGACATAGTCTGAAGATTTAACAAGGAAACTAGCTTGTTTTCATTATAAGCAACTCTCGACCGACATCTAAAGTCGCAACGCACCACAAACAATTCCAGATTGGAGGCCGAAATTATGTTTTTTTACTCTGACAATCACCTGAACAATTACATTAACACAATTATTCGCCTCAGGCCCGGCGAATATTGTTAAGTCATATTTGTTAACAAACAGAAGAATGACTCGTCCTCTTTATGCATAAATATATCTTATTAGAAGTCAAGTTTGTTGTGTAGTATCGCTGAGTATTTTTACGAGTTGCGCCGTATTTTGACGAGCCCATAGGGCGAGTCAAAATACAAACAATGAGTAAAAATACTCAGCGATACGACACAACAAAACGGTTAATAAGAGATTTATTATCCAAAACGCCAAATTGCTATTTCAGTGTGGGCGAATTTCGCGGATATTTCTGGAGTACAAATATCGCGTGATATTGGTACTCCTCTCGCGCGTTAGTTGTACTCTACGAAGCACAGTTGGATAATAAAAGATGATATCTTAATTGTAAAATTATCATTGTCGATCAAAACGGTAAAACCATGTGGACACCAAAAAATCGCCTCGGCACCAACGAAAATAGTATTTTAATATAACGGTTGAGTCATCTCCTTAAATAATGTCATTTACACAACCCATCTCTTACACCACACTGTCGAAATCAACTTTTAATATTGTCGAAAATACGGCTTAACGTTTGAAATTTATTCATCTCTTCTATTATTTATCTATTTATTTATGTATTCATTTTTTATTCTGTAGAGTGCAAGGCCACTGTTATGCAAATATAAAAAGAAATTTTCATGATAATTTGTCTCCTTGAAGTGTTGTGTTTCTATCTGGCATGCATGTCACGTAAGCAATAGGTTTATCGAATATTAAATTGATGATGTATTGTTATGTTCTACAAAGTTTTAGTTTCTGTAAGATTTTTTCTGTAATCCATTTAATTAACACTTTACCAGTACTAAGTCCTTGTAAAAAAACCTTCGAAGTTTCTACAACTCCAATGGCTACGTGATTGAGGCTTTTCAGTCGTACCTATTTTTTGTTAAAGAAAGGTAAGACAGTCGTTTGGAAATTAATGTTAAAACATGAGACTTTCTGTTGATCGACGCCGTCTGTCTAATATTCATTTTTAACAAGTCTACGCATTGTCCTCGTTATCTTGTTCTACGTTCATCAAACTGTGAAGTTCACTTTTCTCTTGAGATCCTGAAGGGTTAAGAACTGCCGACCATCTTGTTGCCTTGGAGAATGCAAGAACTACACCTCCAATTACAACAAGATTGACGAGGAAACACGCCAGCAAACCCAGTATGTGCCACGCAAAAACAATCACTACAAATGCGTGGTTTGATCCTATGTCTTGCCAGGGACGAGGCCCGTACAACACATGAGCGATCTGAATAAACCAGGTACCGAGGAGAACAACGAGAAATGAGCGCACCATGCACAAGATGAGACTCTTCCGTTGCCAAGCTTCCAGCAGTACGATAAAGGCGATGAAAAATGCAACAGTGTATAGCGGAATATGTAGCTTTTGATCAAGTTCGTTGCGTCCTTCGATGTGGTAATAAAACAACTCCCCAACCAGGAAAAAAGCCTTTGATAACAACACATGATCCGTTGTTGAAGGCACGAATAAGACGTTGTAGTAGCGAAAAATTTCCGCAATGGCACCCAGCAGAAAACTACCAAACATTGTCGCGTGACCGAAGTTGTTTAGATGCGAAAAGTGCCCATGGTTGTCAAGAAGGTTCCATTTGCCTTTCGATAGCTCCGCAATGATTCCGACAGTGCATGCTATAACTTTCAAACAAGGATCGACAGGGAAATTTCTCAGACATGATAGAGGAACTTTCATCCACACAGAAGATTCAAAGTCGAGTTCGAAGTCAAATTTCTCGGTTCGCCCTCGCTGCGCAACGGAGTGTCTTTTAAAATACTTTGCTTGGGCTTCCGCAATCTTAGCAAGAATGTTAAACCACCACCATAGGCCAAATATTATGAAAAAAGACCCTGGAAGAACATGGCCGGCGTAAGAACCCATCTTTTAGTATAGATCACAAGTTACGCTTCCGTGACAGCGTTTGAACAATTATGCTGCGAGAACTGTCGGCAAAGATTGACACATCCGTTTTCTCTGCTAGGCAAACTTGATATTGTCGAGACAAGTATTGAGACATATGACTTTTATTATCATTTTCGGAAACTGATGAAAGAAGTGTTCACTTTTTTGATCGCCGTAGAAACCAGCAAATTCCGAATTACAAAACTTTTTTTATATTTATTTTGACACCATGGATACAAATTTCAACCGATGCATGAATTAACCGTATCACTGCCCTTTAAGTTCGAAGAGTGACTAACATCTAATTTCTCCTTACAATATCACGCCTAAATCACGCGTTAAGGTTACGAGAATAAAAGAAATGATCACCAGCTAATTGATTGTCAAACAAATTCTCCTTATCAGCACCTTAGGAATTGTACAGTGAACAATGTGGAGAATACGCATTTTAATATTAGTGAGTAAAGAGTTAAACACAAGACGAACACGTCCTACGAAAATTGAGAAAGGAACATTACTCTCAGGCAGAGATTGATCATCTTTTTATATCCATTGTTTTGCCTAATTTTAGCCATGTACTTTCAGTCTATGGGGTATCTGAGTCCGATCTTACGGTTGTACAAAATTTTTTAGACCGATGTCATAAACGCCGTTTTATCTCATTTCCAGTTTTTATCAAGAACCTTTTAAACAAACAAGACCGCAACATTTTGAAGAAACTAAATCAACGGATTGCCACCCCCTGAAAGACACCATTCCTGTCCAAAAGACATACGTACATAATCTTAGGAAAAAAGGCTGTGCACGCCCGAAAATTAATACAGACCGCTTTATGAACACCTTTGTAAATAGGTTGATATTTAAGCTCCATTTATTGTAATGACAACTTTTTAATTCATAATATGTATGTAGATTTCAGTTGTAGTTTCCCGAATTCATTGTAACATAAGATATGTAGTTTTATCTTATGATGGAATAAAGACTTTATTATCATTATTATTATTATTATTATTATTATTATTATTATTATTAAACACAAGACGAGTTCGTGTCGTTTCAATAATAACTCACAGCCAAGGCGCTACAGGCCAACAGGAACTTGTTCAACAATCATGCTCAAATTTCAAATAGGAGAAAGTCGCTGATAAATCGTTGAAAATGGAAACTTCAATGAACTAAAGTTCATATTCAAATAACTCAGAATTTATTCTTATGCATCTCTGAACAAGAAAAAGAAAACCTCTAAGTGCTAAAAAAATATTGCAAAATGGCTTACTAAAGCGTTGTCCAAAGACTGTGCATCAAAGTTGAACGAAACTAAAATGTCCATTTTTAAGTTATCATCAGTCGTCATTCTAAAAAACAAAACCTCTGCGTCACAAATTAACTGAACTCTTTTAAAGGCACTCTTGCGCGCGTGTAAAGGGTCTATTGATGCATCCAGTATCCTTGATTTTAATTTTTAAATGAATTGAAAATAACTCGAACTCATCCGCTCTTTTGTTTCACTCTTTCTCACCTACTGTGGTTGGTCAAAGGGATATTGTTTGCGATCTCTTGAATGCTTGTACAACCGTTTTCTGGGTTCTGAAGGAGACAAAAAGTAAAAACCTGGACTGGTATATGAGTAATTCCACACTGAAGAAAGTGCGATGACTTTTTCAGGGCTAAACTTTAAAAGATAAAGGAAACTGAATTGGCACAGAATTAATATATCACCGGAATATTAAAATATGATGCGGGTAAACACCACGATTTGGATGAATCAACAAGTGATTAGATATATAAAGCTTCGATTTGTGCTCCCTTTATCTTTCTTTGAAAGATGTAGACTTCACGCAATGGCTGTAATCTACGAGAACTGGTCATGTGAGTTTAATGTTAGCTCTCGTCCAGGCTGCTCCGAGGGTTTTTCTCCGGGTTCTCCGGTTTTCTTCCCTCCGAAAAAACCAACATTCCCAATTGCGATTCGACCTGGAAACAGTGGACAGGACGAAGCCACCTCCCGGAATGTCTACTGCTAAATTATCACTAATATATAGATATAGCCAAGCCTAAAAGCGGAGCTCCCAAGTTCGTAATATTAATGATAACATAAAAGATATGCATTTGCCAAGACTCGCCTGAGACACCCCTCCCTTTGTTTTGATAGTCTCCCCTACCCTGCCCGTGCAATCTGAAGTCACGTACGTACGTGCGTACGCTCAGTCAGTCACGTGACAACCAAACGAAAGGAGGTTGACCATCTTCCATGGGTATGGGGCTCTTCGCGCGCGTGGGAGCCCCGCTTTTAATGCCGTTTCTTTACTTTATTACACTTATCTTCTTGCATGTTTTTAAGTCTCAGCTTTCTTTTCAGGCTTCCTCACGATATCATCTTGCAAATGCCATTTCTTTCCGTCATCACTTTCAGTATCAACCTCGTTCCCAGGGCCTTTTCCCTTAGTTGGGGGGTGACTAAGGGAAAGGCCCTGGGAATGAGGTTGTTTCAGTCTCAGCGGTTCAGCGAAACTCTTAGTTTTAGAGTGACATTTACAGTCTACTGACAAGTGTTTTTGAAAACGTAGGTTTGGAATTTTGCAAACTTGCAACACTACCATGGTGTAGTTTGTAAACATATTTCCTTTAGCCTCCAGGATTAGAGCGATTTCCTGTTATTTTTCCTTTTAGCCTTTGGACCTTGCCCATTGGAAGAAGAACATTTCATGTTCGTGAAAAAAAATTGATAAAACGCCGCAAACAGAAATTGCAGATTACCATGTTTTTTAGTTCGATTTATGTTACTCTATCGAATCTGCCCCCTGTACGTCCTTTGATCACCTATCCTAAATTTGTTGGGAAGAGGAATATCCAGAAATGACGGGTGGGGGGGGTGGGGGTGATCGCATATGGGGAAGGCTAAGTTCAAAATAGGCCATGTAACAGAGAATTACGCAAGTAAATTTGTTCGCGGTGGGTAGTCCAAGGAAAACCCATGACTCAACTTGTGATACATTTTTCCTCTGGCTGTGAGAATCGTGATCGAGCGATATAAATTTGTTTGTAAACCAATCGGTGAAAAAAATTTTTGGCGCTACGTTTTGTTCCTTCTCCCTCTTATCATTTCTGAGGTTTAAATGGTGAACAGCAGTAAAACTAAGCCGACAGAACTTGTGTAAGTATTATTATTATTTTTTATTTTTAGGTAAACGCCCGCCGAGAGCGATGCGCATAGTGACTTCCCTCTCTCTCACTCCGTCGCAGCCGTCTACGATTGCCTAAAACAAACGACGAAAAAAGGACGCTTGTTTAGCGGCGACAACAGAAAAGTGATGAGGTTCAACTGTGTAATTTGTCCACAGTTACCTTTTAAAAAAAAAAAAATATATATATATATATATTTTAACGAGGTTATTTGCAATGTCTACCGTCTATCAAAAAATATGATCATGATGTGGTTCAAAATCCGGTGTCAGATTTGGCAACATAAATGTGCGTGACATGCTAAGATGGTCACGTCACTGCGTGATATCACATACACTTACACAACATGCGATTGTTCTCAAGTTCATCGGCGGAGGCTGGAGACGCACAGACATTCTCAAGGTCAACATCTTTGAGCGTGGATTGAGAAAAAAAAAATTGGTTTTGAGGACGTTCATCTCTATTGGTGGATGTTTATACCGAAGATAAACAACGTTTGAGGCTTTCCAAATACCTCAGTGCCGTCAGTAGACTTTCAGCCCTACATTTGGGGTCAATATGTTGTGAATCCAAAATTTTTTATTTGTTTCCGGTCGGAATCACAGTTCATCGCCGGCACTAATCTCTCCTAATGCAGGCCAAGGCGAGAACGTAGTTTCAAAAGATGCTCACTTGTAAACACCGTATTTTTCATGGGTGTGATTTGTTCTTGTAGCGACGACAGAAATTGTGGGACAGAAGGAACTCTTGTGATTAACAACGGATCCATTACATTCCAACATTCAGGGTAGGTGCAAAAAAAAAACAGGAAATCTTGTTTCTCGGTATATGATGACATTCCTATGCACGTTAGAAACCAAATTTACCATACTACCTTCTTATTGAAAATCCCATTTGGTGCCAATAGGAGCCTAGGATGTAAGCAGTACAATACAATTTGGAGAGGTCAGCATTCATTTGGAACTTCATAATTATCCATGCTTATTCATGCGAGGCTCTTGAAAACATTTAAATAAGATCTGTGAGACATGACTGTCAGCGATTCTTCAGTGGAGAAGGAGTCCCTTACTTCTCTCCCACCCCCACCCCCCACCTCCCACCCCACGGGATAATATTCTGTGCAGTTCCTACATTTGGCCAGCGGCATCCAAATTACGCAATATGGGGTGATGCTTTGTCGCAACTTGTGTGATACTCCACTTCTAGAGTGCAAAGGTCCTTGGTAAAGTTCACATAGAATCTAAGACGATAAAATAAAAAAAATTCGTTTCATCTTCATTTTCCCAAAGATCGCCTGTTTTCCGGGTCCAGGTAGCAGTTCCATCGTGTCACGTGACCATGGCTCGCCCCGCTATGAACGAAGAATTTGCTCTTGTTGATCTCCCTGCAGAATATGTGAGTATGCCTGACGGACAAGTTTGCCCGGACCATTTCAGAGGATGGCTCCTAAAGTGGACGAATTACATCAAAGGATATCAAAAACGATGGTTTGTCCTTTCAAACGGCCTTCTTTCTTACTACAGGTATTAAATTTAGACCTAGGTCGATGTGGTTGTGTTTTCAAGATGGCGGACGATCCTTTTCAATGGCATATGTTAAGGTTTGTTTTAACCGAAGTAGAATGTTTTTTTTCTTCCTCAGAAGCCAAGCCGAGATGGCACATACGTGTCGAGGAACAATAAACTTGGCCGGTGCTTTCATCGATTCGGAAGACTCTTGTAGTTTTGTCATTTCTAATGGAGGTACACAGATTTTCTACATGAGAGCCAGTTCTGAGGTTGAACGACAAAGATGGGTGACAGCTCTGGAATTGGCTAAAGCGAAGGCTATCAAAATGCTAGAGTCAGGTTTGCTGTTGTTATTTGCTTCCGTGATAAACAAAATTGATCGCTGAGAGTTTTGTCAGCTGTGATTATTACAACTCAAGTTTCACACTATTTGAATCAAATATCATTATAAATCGTTCTGGCAACTTAAATAAGATCGATAAGTGTGTGAAGCCATTTAAACTGGGCCTTAAGTTTTTCTTTGGTTATTGTTTTTGGGGTTAAATGTACTCTTCAATTGAGCATGCAATCTGCGTTAGTGGGTCACTACCATAGGGGATGTGGTTGTTTTTAATTTAATTTTCATGCTTCGCCTTTAATGTGTGATATTTTGTATTTCGGCGCTGCAAGAAAATATCACAAAACAGCTGATTTGGGGATTTTATTTCCGTTGACGCGGTTATCGCATACGTGTACCTGTACAATAGTGACATCACCTGGTATAAACACATGTACTTGTTTATTCGTAATTGGTAAGGGAAAGAGCAAAAAATGTGTCATAATTTATTACCTTCAATTACAAAGGTAGTGTTGTCCAGAACAGAGAGCCCTTCTAGGCATGCATTATAATTCCTTCAATCCAAGTCATGTACCAAAATAATTTGAAATTGAAATGCATCTTTATCTGACATTTATCATGCGAAATGTCTCTAGCACCGAAGTCCAAGTTGTCTAAAGTAATGGTATACTAAACAATTATTGGATGAGGTTTTCGTGATATCAGCGTCAGCCTTTGGCTTTGGCTGATAACACTTACCTCGACCTTGACTATTCCAGATATCACAATTATTCACTAATCTGTAGGTACAGATTAGTGAATAATCTGTAGGTTGTGCTGTTTCCCAGAATTAACTGTGGGCGTTTAGCCAATGAGAAGACAGATGATGACTACAATGTATAATAATTTAGGTAATTTGTGATGGTTTTCATAGCCACTAGAAGCTTCTGTTAAAATTTTATATGATCAGTGATGGCCATTTGAGTGAGCAAGTAGCAAATTTGCTTAGGAAATATATAAAGAATAGTACAGAGAATATGCATAGTGATCTCAGGTTTAATATTGGCCTGCTGTGCCCTGGCCCTAAATCTTGGAACTTCTCTGGGCTCTAGTACTTTTGCATTTCCCTTATTGATATCTAGCCACTGTTGATCAGGTTGCTTATCATACTCACTTTTAAGAAGCCCTTCTCCCCCCTTCTCTGCCCTCCCTAAAGCTGACTATTGAAAATTGTTTGTTTCTTTTCACTGAGGCACTCAGTGCGATGAAATCTCAAGGTGCCTTCCCACAGGGTTGTCATGGTTTCCTTGGAGCTCATGTGCAGCTCGTGCAGACTTTCCAGGCACCATCCCAACATTATCTTAATGGCAATACCTTGAGGTTTTCTTCACGCGCATTTTATTTTGTAATGCATGAGGAATGGGGATATTCTTTTGCAACTGTTAACTGCAAATTAATATTCTCTTTTTCTTTTGTTTGAATATTTGATCTACTCCTTGAAAGCTGTAGTACAATTCCTGAGTATACATGTTTCAAATTGAAGTAACTATTATATCTATTTAATTATCATGACCTGTATAAACAATCCCATAGAAAACCATGGTGGAAGATGGCGTGCACAGGACTGAATAGGTTGACATGAGCCACTTTGGAAAATGCTTTATTTGATAAAATACTGAGATTTACACTGTAAAGTACTTTTGTTTGTGTCTCTGATCAAATGAACAATGTATTTTCATTGTTGTTGGTTTCCAAACTTTGAAATGGGTTAGTCAAGCCATCTCTGGCCGTTCTATCTCAGTTCAAGTCACTCGACATTCTGAAATAGGCAACATGGGGCTCGAATTTCACGATCCACCTCAACCAAGAGGTCGCCGTTTCGTCAAGGCTGAAGGTCAGAAAGTGGATTGGAGTAACTTAACTAACATGCCGCTGGTTAACACAACTGAAAAAACATCCACCTCTAAATCAAAGGGTTTTGCTGTCCCAAAATGTTTGTTTACGAACATTTGTGGCTCGTCGAAAACAAAAAGTCATCTACGAACACCTGTGGTGCTTGAGGCTGACCTGATATCTCAGGACATTGATGAGTGTATTATCAGCGAAACTCATCTTTCCACCAATATGCTGGACACCGTGGTGAATATCCCAAATTACAATGTGTTCAGGCAGGACAGAGGTTGGGCAGACTTGTACAAAAGGAAAAAAGGGGTGTTGCGATCTATGTGAGAGACAGTCTTAAAGTCTTGGATGTCTATGGGTCCAATTTATATGAGTTTATTGCTTTAACAGTGCTGTTGCTGTCCGATCACATTAAGAAAACCAGCTGTCATTGGTAGCAGTGAGTGGCGGAAGGGCGTGAACATCCTATTGCAGCTTTGGAGGTCATCGTTGATAAATTTGGACAAGAACTCTCTAGTTCGTCTGAATGACTACTTCACCAACCTGTGCTATGATGATACCTACGTTAGACCTATTGATATGGATATCCTGGACAGTTTGAAGCCCTCGAAAATATCTGAGCAGTGTGTTTGGAATACCTTAGTTCATGTAAAGAAAACGGCAACGGGACCAGATGACCTCCCGTACTGGATCTAGAAAGACTGTGCTGAGCTACTCACACCAATCGTCACTCATGTTTGGAATCTGTCGCTGCCTACTTATACATGACCAGACTCCTGGAAGAGGGCAAAATTAATGTTAATCCTCTCCCCAAAGTGAACATGCCTATAGAGGTTTTGCACAGCAGCCATGTTGGATGGCAGGAACAATAAAAATGTTTTGCATATTAAGAAAGAAATTTTTTTCTCATGGGTAAAATAATCTATTGTTCCTGCCATTCAACATGGCTTCTGTGCAAAACCTCTATGGAGGACTCAGACTAACATGGTATTAATGTTATTCCCGTTATTGCGTGGTTGTTCGAGAAGGTCGTGTATCGTACGCAAGCACAGTCAGTCATTGAGAAGGACCTGAGCCACACCCAATTTGCATATAGACAGGCAGGTAGTTGCACAAATGCCTTGCTTGCTATCCAGCACCAGACATACAAGTATTTAGTGACTATAGTGCAGTGCGAATTTTTACCATGGACTTCAGTAAGGCTTTTGATTTTGAGAACCATGCTATTTTGTCTGCCAAACTGAAACAGCTACCTCTAAATCCATACGTTGTCAATTGGTATCATAGTTTCCTCTATGCAAGACAACAACTTGTTGTTAGTTATAATTTTTTAGGACAGTGGAAATCTGTTAATAGAGGAACCACACAAGGTAGTGTAAGCGGACCGTATCTTTTAATATATTTTTGAATGATTTGGAGATTTTTTTTTAATGGTTGCCCTCCGCTTTTTAAATATGCCGATGATTCCACTATTCTTTCGTCCATCACTAGGAATAGTGACCCCTCTGCCGACTTAGTAGGACAGTTCTTAACATGGTGTAAAGACAACAGAATGGACTGCAACCCTTGCAAAGAAAAATCATAATGTACTCTACCATCCAATTAATAATATTCCTCAATGTAATAGCTTCGTTTTACTAGGAGTAACTTTACAGAGTGATGGAAAATTTTATGAGCATGTAAGAACTAAGCTTGTCAAAGCAAACAAGTGTTTACACGTCCTACCAACATTGAGAAAGGAACATT